CACACTGCACTCAGCACCATCACTCTTACCTTATGGCAGGAAGTATGCCCAAAGGGTTGTAGCCATCTTACCATTTCCTGGGCTGTTGGGAGAGCTAATGATTATCTAGGGCCTAGAGCACACTTTGAAAGCAAATGGTATGTGGCAAGCAAATAGAAACAAATAGGTGCCAAGCACAGGAATGCATAAGCGGACTAGGTCACACAATACCTAAATGGTGAATATCAATGAAAGTAAAGCAAGAAAAAAGCAACAGTTATGCAGGTCAAGAATTAAATCTGCAAATCCTAATTTTGCACTTCTGGTATAAATAGCTAGTCAGACTAAAGGTTCAACTACTCTTGACTCAATAACATGATTCCATCTCTGATGTATGGGGCATTCATTCATGAGTGGATTATGAAAGACAACTGGTCATACTAAGTTGCACAAGTCATTAAATATACTCCTATCATCCTAGTCAGTAAATATACTACTAGAGGCAACTAGAAAATGGGACTAAGTCGCATCTGTCTGGGCCCAAAGTATCTAGGAGCAGCAAAAGGCTCATCAATTTCAAGTTGGTATTTAAGACAAAATTTGGTTGATATGTGGAATGTCATTATCTTCTTTCTCGATGGCCAGAAGTTGGTTGAGTGGTCTTAGGCTCTCATCAAGAAGACTAACTCCACACCAACCGCTCCTAAACGTCAAATAAATGCATTAATAAGAACTAGCCTTCTAGAAATATTGACATTAGGAGGATGTTTAAAACTGTTTTGTCACACACTAAGTCATGAATGCATGGGTTGCAGAAATAAAGTTATTCAAGGGTGGACACAACATGGTTTAAGTAAGCAAAATGAAAATTGTGCAATAAAAAGGACAAGATTAACATGAGAGCCAGTAAAAACCATCTTTCATTCTTTAGAAACAGGCATGAATGACAAAAACATTAGTTAAGAGCTCAACAAAGACAAATATAAGCATGGTGACATTTTAATAAAATAAAATGAACTGTACTCACCAAAATGGAGCATCAGCATGGGATTAGCAAGCAGAGCTGTAGATCAAATCATGCATTAAGGCGTTTTAAACAGGCTTTTGAAGGTCAGGTGTGACCAGTGAATTTCCAATTCAGCAATTGGGGGTGCAGCTAACAAAAGTGCATTACATATGGTCATGCAAGAATTAACGTTTACTCTGCTTAAATATTACACCAAGGAGAACAAGATACAAGATTAATAAGATGCACATGACACTCAAAAGATACTAATGAAATAAAACATGACATACATTGAGGAACAATTGTAAATGAATGATTATCCTGTATAATATAGCTAATGTTCTGCAGCCCTCTTCAATGTAATGACAAGTCAACCCAAAAGGTTTCCTTGAAGAATAGATACTATCAAATGGGGTAATAAGGGACGGGCATGGTAAATTGGGATGCATGTCCCAAATTTCGTAGAAATGTTGTAGCAGCTAAACTAATCAAAATATTGCAAAACTGAAAATAATGGCGTAAACTTCAACATTTTTACTAGTATTTATTATGAATAAAGCTAGTTAAGAAATCATACATTTACTATCTCTAAAAAATTGCTGAAAAAATGTGAAAATGGTGATTTTGGAAAAGTATCTCTACTAAGGTCTGGAGCAAAAGAAATATTCAGAATTTGCATATCTCGTTTAAAAAAAACATGGCAGCCATTTCCGCACAATGGGGTAATAAGGGACACCCCTAAAAATGCATTTACACTAGAACCTTGATTAGCAAAGGCTCCAGTTAACAAAAAAAAAAGTATTAACCACAAAGAATTTTGATTACATTTACCTTGTTCAGTGAAAAAAATTTCACTTATCAAAAAATTAATGGATCATTGGTCATCAAAAAATTGTGCATAGAATGTCATGTATAGAATTGTGCACTGAGCAGCATAGAATGAAAAGTAACTAACCTAAGCTATGATTTATTTCTTTGTTCTGTTTCAGGTATGTTTTTTACAATATTTTTTTTAGTGAATTCACTTAACCCAATTGAAATGGTGTGAAATTACGAGCCATTTTGTAAGCTTACAGATGCCAAAGAAATGCTATAGGGCTGCTGATATGAAGCTTGCAGTGGACAAGGTTGTTGTAAATGCTCAATGGCATGTTCATGGATAGGGTAATATCACATCAGTAATACAGTAATATCCCATCAATAATATGGTACCCTCAACTGGGGTGACTTCAGCCAGGTTTTTGATTTTGTTTTGCAAACAAAAGCAGGGTCATAAACGATGGCCAAAGTCACTCTGGCATTTATGACTTTGTTTATGACCCTGTTTACGACCTTGTTTTTGTTTGCAAAACGAAATCAAAGTTGTGGCCAAAGTCACCCCAGTTGACGGTAATTAATGTTTATGGTAATATCATATCAATAAAGGAAAAAATAGTAAAAATCACAGAAAATGTCATTTATTCTACCTCTACATCATCTACAATAAAAGAGGACTTCAGAGTACTGTTAGTAATGGATGAGTACACTCTGCAGGCTTCAAATGTTTTAAAATGAAGTTTTATTCCAAGTGTCCCGAGTAGCCCCGTTCGACTGGGCAACTTGGGACACTCTTTTTTTGCTTATGACACCTTATGAATAGCATATATAATTATTTTGAAGATGTCATTCGATAGCCCTCGCAAAGAGCTATAAAATGAGCCTAAACTTGTTCATGAAAAGTATCATGGTAAGAAGTTATTAACAAAAAACGCTCAAAACCGTCCCGAGTAGCCCCGGTTGACGGTATTTCAATTAGGTAGTTATGCTGCTATAAGGAAGTTTATATTCTGTTATGCTAAATGTTATGCTGCTATAACATTTTTGTGCCATAGGGGGTCTTGCACTGCCTGTCCCTTATTACCTCATTTGATGGCACTTCTTTTTATTAAAATATATTAAATAGTTCCATTCTCTGCTTTTATTCCATCTTTGTTCAGACCTATTATGCATATTTTTTTAAGATACGCTGTATAGGTATGTTGTTTTGTGTTATAATATAATGCAATATCTCTCAAAAATATGAATTTAATTTGTTTATATTGACATTTTCAAATTATTCAATTCCAGTACATAAAAAGAAATCCTCACATCAGGTGCACTCTTGAAGCTTTGCTCATTAATTTGATCATTGTATTGTCATAGCACAATACTGTGGTTAATATCCAGTGATTACCTTAATCATGGTTAATGTGATAAAGGGAATGCTCATTAAGTGGTAAGTTTTGTGATGTTATTGGTATAAATCATCATTTTAATTGTAAAATATATATTAAGGCTATTCCTGAATTCACCAGAATTCTTTACAGACCAAAATTAACAGGAAAATGTGGACTTATAATGTCTGCAATGAAATACACATTTTTTTATTGTTTCAATTGGTTTGTTGAACTTCAATTATTTTCATTTTATTTTTGGAATTTTTGCTGAGAACATGCATGCTATAATATTATTTTGATATATTGAAATGATTGATATATGGAAATATTCCTTGGGATTATGAAATGCATAAATACTTGTAAAAAATATCAATATAATTTATTGCTTGAGTCACATGCCCTGTCTTGATTATTAAAGTAAATAAACTTATTAAATATATATTTTCAGTGACCCTGTTATGAAGCAACTGCTCCTTCACTTGGATGAAACTCTAGCTCTTGGATCTAAGTTTGTTATTGACGTTTGTTAGTCACGTGCCCTAGCTTGATTATTAAAGTACGGTATATTAACTTATAAAATCAATATTTTCAGTGACCCTGTTATGAAGCAACTGCTCCTTCACTTGGATGAAACTCTAGCTCTTGGATCTAAGTTTGTTATTGCAAATCTGGACGACTGCCATCTTTTTGTGTCCCAAGATGTTTATGAAAGTTTGAAAGTGAGTATATATTAATTTAAAAGGTACCTACTATATTAATTTATAAAGTAAGTGTACCGTATAACAAATTATTAATAGTCAGATTAATTCAAAAGGTACCAACTATATAAATTTATAAAGTAAGTGTACCGTATAACAAATTATTAATAGTCATATTAATTTAAAAGGTACCTATGTATATTAATTTAAAAAGTAAGTGTATAACAAATTATTAATATTCATAAGCTAAATGTTTTATGTATTTATTTATTCTTTTGAGCTTGAAGTAATAGAAAAATTTGTCCAAGGAGGTTATTTGGACATTTATTGAATATTGTTTTGCTACTTAACTTAATTATAGTATGCAGTTTATTTGATGTTTCTTGAATTTCATAAAATTTTCATTTTCCATTTTAATTGAATGTTGTTTAGTTATTTCGATAATTTTTGTTCAACCATTTAATTAAAAGTTCTTCTGACATGAAATTTAAATTGATGGAATTTATATATTGCATTAGGCTTCCTCATTATTGGTAGGTAGGTATTTTTTCACAAGATGTGATTTTATCATCACTGTCAATGACATTATTTTATCTAAAGAGAAACCGAGTTTACAAATACTAATTAGCTAATCAACCATTAATTGATTTAATTTAATTCATGGAATGACTTTATGCACATGAATTTATTTTGTATTAGGTAATTGTACTACTACAATATTTAATAATTAATTTGTATCATGTATCAATTGCAAGTTTGTCAATTCATTCTTTATTTTAGTTGGAGATATATGTTTTGCTTTAACACTTCTCTTGTAGTGAGAGTTTTCTCAATATTCTCTGCCAAACATAAATGTAAACAAATTGACAGGTGCGCATTGATGAGCTTTATGAGAAAGTCTACTACAACCAGACGGCCAATCAGAAGAGTTTTGATTGAGTTTATTCTCACCCTCCAACCAATTCAACATGGCATCCAGGGAAACAGGTGAGCACCTAATTTTGTGCGGCTCGTTTGGTCATCACTATGATCTATTGATAAATTATTCATGTAAGATCTATAACTACTATATATATTGCTTGCAAATTTCAAAAGAAATTTCATAATTCCAAGCATTCATGAAACTATAATTTTTTCATATTTAATTATGGTTTCAGAGCAAAAATGTTTTATAATTATAAAATTCACTTGATAATTTTTAGTTTATAGGATATGACAATGAACTGTACTGACATTGAGCAGTTCGTGCAAAAGAGACAGGCAACCGCCGCGTGCTGGATGAGTCAATTTTTTCATATTTTATTATGGTTACAAACGAAAATAGCTTATAATTATAATATCAACTTGATAATTTTTAGTTTATAGGATTAGACAATGAACTGTACTGCCATTGAGCAGGTCGTGCAAAAGAGACAGGCAACCGCCGCGTGCTGGATGAGGCCGGCAGACGTCGAAGAGCCCGCAAGGCTCTAGAGGCGCTGGAGCAGGACAACTTCCACGAGGACCCTCATGCTAATCTGGTCATGAGTAAAAAGGCTCCTAAATTTGAGGAGCTTTTGGACTCACATGGCAGAAGCAAGGAGAGGAAGAGGAAGACGCGTAGTGCCGACTACTTCAAACAAAGGTGTGTGTTTGTATGTGTGGAGGAATAAATTTGAATAGAGCTGCGGTGGTGCAGTGGTGCGAGACTCAGTCTCTCGCAATTTTGTGTAAACTGAAGCTTGATGAAAGTCCTGTAAACAATTGAGCTAGTCTCAGCTGTGTCAATTTTCCTGAATAACACAGGGTGATAAAAAAACTTCTTTAAAGCAGCAAGACTGAATTTCTTATGTCAGACTCAGTATTTAATTGGTGTATAAAACTTGGGAATTTAACTGCATCATTTTAATGCACTCTGTCTGAGAGTGTGTCAAAAATACCCATAATCATTAATATTTTTTGCAGGTACCGGAAAAATTTCGCCATGCTACTGGAGGAGGACCAGCTGAGTAACCCAGACGGCCCCAACTACCTCACTGCTCAGGCTGGTGCAAGCCAGCTGCCGGAGCGTCATCTGTGCGCTGTTTGTGGCTTCCCTTCCCCATACAACTGCGTGGCCTGTGGTGCCCGATACTGCAGTACACGCTGCTACTCCACACACCAGGACACACGCTGTCTCAAATACACAGTCTGAGAGTGTGTCAATACCCAATAATGTGAAAGAGTGTGTCAAAGTGAGTCACACTCAGAGTGTGTGTCTGCCTGAGAGTGTGCCAAAATACCCATAATAATTAATATTTTTTGCAGGTACCGGAAAAATTTTGCCATGTTACTGGAGGAGGACCAGCTGAGTAACCCAGACGGCCCCAACTACCTCACCGCTCAGGCTGGTGCAAGCCAGCTGCCGGAGCGTCATCTGTGCGCTGTTTGTGGCTTCCCCTCCCCGTACAACTGCGTGGCCTGTGGTGCCCGATACTGCAGTACACGCTGCTACTCCACACACCAGGACACACGCTGTCTCAAATACACAGCCTGATTATTGTGTTATGAGCAACACAATAATCAGGTTTTGCTTCTAACTTTTGACACAGGAAGCTCAACAAAGTTACTTAAGGGCACTCCCTCTACATCAGCATACAGCCTCGGCTTGGAATGTTTAAACCTTCATAACCGTGATAAAATTTTTAGACGTAGCAGTCCCAGGCTACAATGGAGTGCCGCCATAATGCAAATTGATGGTCTTGAAGTTGGGATATGACTATAGAAATAACTGATGAATCTCAGTGTTCATCGTTAATCATTTTCAGACTTGGATGTTTCAGTATAATTTGTCTGATGCTTAAAACATTATTTGCATTCTAGTGTGGTGGGATACAGCCTCGGCTTGGAATGTTTAAACCTTCATAACCGTGATAAAATTTTTAGACGTAGCAGTCCCAGGCTACAATGGAGTGCCGCCATAATGCGAATTGATGGTCTTGAAGTTGGGATATGACTATAGAAATAACTGATGAATCTGTGTTCATCTTTAATAATTTTCAGACTTGGATATTTCAGTATAATTTGTCTGATGCTTAAAACATTATTTGCATTCTAGTGTGGTGGGCTGAACATAAATAATTATTAATACAAAATAATAATTATTGATGATAAAAACTTAGCCTAATAAGGTCTGCATTGACATTAATGTGGAACATGTGTTTTTGCATACGAGTTGTTGTGTAATTTGTAAATACTGCTTAATTTAGCATCGTGTTGCTTTCATTGTTGATTCAATTGATCTATGACACTGATCAGTTGATTGAACTAATTGTCATGATAGTTATGCTTTCATCTCCAAAAATTTATTTCTCTCAAAGCAGGAAAATTAATTAAAGCCCTACGAATTTTAATGAATTTCTTGTTGAAATTAAATTAATGAGCTGAATTTGATGCTTGAAATTTATTTTCGGGGGACAATTGTGTGGTCTTAGGGAGTTTATTACTTTAACCAATTAAGGGCGAGTATCAACACCAACTTGCATCGTTGAATGACGTAAAAATAATTATTTTAAACTTCCATGTCAAAATGAGCAATGCGGACTATCAAGTCCCCCAAAGATAGATATTATAGCCTAACATTTTGATGACTCCTACTGAGAATGTTTTAACTTTGAGCAGTAAATGTCAGCAATATGTAAACGCCCTTCATGTAGGAGTGCTCAGTTGCTCCTTGTGTCTCTGTAAATACCTGCAGTTAAAATACATATTTTTTTATATTTAAGTCAGCCTTCTCAAGATACGAGTGATTAAACTCATCTTGGTCTAAATGGTTTTTAGACAAATAAAATAAAATTTTCTTAGTCATAAATTTAGAAATGAATCTGTAACTAGGTTAGGTTTTTCAATAAGATTATTAATATTCTCAAGTTGTTTTTTCATTATTCAAGATTCTTGGAAATCTCCGACTCAGTTTTATTTTAAATCAGGAAAAGTCACTTCAGTTTTTGCATGATCCATAGCGCTATCTTTATTTTTATCCCAGCTTCCAAGTTAATTTCCTAAAAGACTAAGCGTTTCCTTCTTATATTTCAATTTCTTGATATGAGTTCTATGTTTGTCGAATTAATCGTTTAATTACTTTACTAGCTATTTTTTTTAATGAAAAGTTAGGATATAATTTGATGAGCTATATTTTATTTATCTTAATAGACAGGAAATTTCGATGCACTTAGTTTGCTGGTAAATGTATCAAACGTTGTTCAACGATCTTACAAATGCGATGTCTCCACATTTTGACTACGAGACCCGTAGATTCAAAAAAATATAACTCTGTACTCACTGCAGTGAGTGACAGAGAGCGCATTTTTTCGTCGACGAAAACATGAAGTCATGGACAGACAGACAGACAGACGGACGGACGGATATGACTAGCACAATAGTGCATTTTTTCCATAAATGAGAAAATGCGCTAAAAATGAAGCAATTACCGGTAATTAAAACAGTTGCAAACATAACACCCTCATTGTTGCGCTGACTCCCGCAGGGAAGACTTTGATATAGACAAAGATCTAAGGGAGGTAGCGTCCCCTCGGTCCCGATGCACATTTGCCCGTTTCTTTACGGGAATTTCTTTGTATGTATGTACATATTTGTATGAATTTTCTGCTCTGCATATATGTATTTGTATGAATTTTCCGCCTTGTATGTATGTATTTGTATGAATGTTTTGCTCTGCATATATGTATTTGTATGAATTTTCCGCCTTGTATGTATGTATTTGTATGAATTTTCCGCTTCGCATATATGTATTTGTATGAATTTTCCGCTTTGTATGTATGTATTTGTATGAATTGTCCGCTTTGTATGTATGTATTTGTATGAATTTTCCGCCTTGTATGTATGTAATTGTATGAATGTTTTGCTTGTGTGAATTTTCCGTGTAGGGTTCTGAAGGTGGTCGCGTGAGTATCTGTGAGAATGTTTCGGGTCGTCCGTGTGAATAATTTTTTTTGCCTCCTTTGGTAGGGAACATTTTTCACAGCTTGCTGAGACTCGTTTAAACTCAAGTATACAGCCCACCATTCGATTGTAGAACATTCGTGATATTGGTTCTCTAATTTAATTCAGTCGGCAACAGAATTTTTGTGACTTGTTAGTTAAGAACTAAGAGTCAAGTAGCTTTCAACTACGAATTAGTGTCTTACAAATTTTTCACTTACGGAATTTATACATGTATCTCAAATAATTTTGTTGGGACCCATTTTTAGAATCAAAGTCTTAGAATGGTTATGGCTCTTCTTATTATTGTTTGATAGAAATTTTATTTCATGCAGTATGTGTTTGCTTGAAAATTAACGATTCGTTTCAAAGCCATCAATTTCTGTCCTAGCCCCAGCCCGCTGCGGAGGACATGCCTGATGACGCTCCTTTACATTTGGAACGAATATTCAATTCAATTTATTTACATATCAAATATGCAAGTGGGTTCACTTCACTTATGTGTCGGTCTATGAGTATCAATTTATCTGAAAGTATTATTACGGCAAAATGCCAACTATTTTTCTGCTTAGTTAATTACTTCTTGTCTCCTGCTTTCATTACTCGACTAATCTCGTCTTGCTAAATAAGTTTTTGTGAGCAGTTCATCATTCAAAACTAGTTTATTGTAAAAGCTTTGCAAATATATTAGCCGCGATGGCAGAGGAAGACATGGAAAGTTTCGAAGTGACAGACTTTGACCTGGAGAACGAGTTTGCTGGAGCTAAGCGCAGCCATCGCTTTACTAAAGAGCAGCAGATATACGGCGTCTGGGCCGAACACAGCGATGGCGAAGAGGTGGGCATTAAATATCTATTAAACATTACTTCAGGATTATTCTGTGTCGTAAATATATACAATAATGTAATGTTCAATAAGACAATTATTGCTGTTAAGTATCATAAATATTCCAGTTATTATATCACCTATTATTCTAGTCGAGAAGTTTGTCAGATAACAGGACGTTTTCAATTGATCTTCAGCCCCCTGAAAATTGGAATTGTTGACATTGAAAGACAGGGAAAAAAATTCAGAGCATATCATTCTCCCATTAATTATAGGCCGGCGTCCTGCTATATCGACCACTCAAAGTTTTCTTGTAGTAATGAAGTGAGATTGGTATTTTTGCCGATCACACAACATGTCTCTGTACACATTTGTTTGTCTCTGTACACATTTGTTTGTCTCTGTACACATTTGTTTGTCTCTGTACACATTTGTTTGTCTCTGTACACATTTGTTTGTCTCTGTACACATTTGTTTGTCTCTGTACACATTCTGTCTCTTATACACATCTAGATGTGTATAAGAGACAGGTATATATACTGTATACGACATCTTAGCTAGTATATGTAAGCCGACTTATGTTCTTAGTTTGCCAGGCGGGACAAATGACAGTAGCGTGAGTCATTTGATTCGTGCATCCCAGTGTAGAGTAAATGGTCCAGTAGATGGAGCCCCGGTGAACTACTTGTGAAGTGCAAGGTATTCAAGTCTTGATCAAAATTGCCATCACCTCTCGAGTTGGTGCCTAGTAATAATTAATCTTTAGTAGTTACTAATAATTAATCTTTAATTACGCGTTTTCAGTGATATTTTTGGGCTTGAAATTAGTCCGTGCAATAACTTGATCTCTGTTTTCAGTGACGACGAAGAAGTTGGACCTAAGCTGGTGACGAGCAAGGCTCAGCTCGGAGCGATGGCTGGTGATAGTGGAGGCGGTCGCCGCAACGTCATGGGCTCCACGCTGACGGTGGCCAAGGGCGGCAGCAACATCGGGTCCTGGGAGAAACACACTACGGGCATCGGCAGCAAGCTGCTCAAGTCTATGGGCTACAAGGAAGGCATGGGACTCGGCAAGAACCTGCAGGGCATATCCACGCCAGTCGAGGCCAATAAACGTAAAGGAAAAGGAGCCATTGGCTTCTATGGCTCAGAGCGATCAGAAAGATCCATCAAGGATTATCCTGTCCATGATTCAGATGAAGAGGATAAGAAGAAATTCGAAGAGGAGTTACATCATTGGAGGAAGTCTGGTGACAGCAATAAGAAGGTGAAATACTTGTATAAGAGTGCAGATGAAGTTATCAAAGAAGGGCGTAATAAGAAAATAAGGCACATTGATGACAGCCATATTTCTAAAACAAAAGTCATCGACATGACTGGACCCGAAACAAGAGTACTGAGCAGTTATCACGCAATCACTGGTCAAAAATCTTTAGTTGCTTCGTATGAAGAATCACGTAAACAAAAATATGAAAAATTTGATGTTCCAGAGCTAATACACAACGTGCAGATGTTACTAGAGATGAGCGAGGAAGATATCATCAAAAATGCTCGGCGTAAAGAACAACAGAGCAACAGAATCGTGCACATCGAGCACGAGAAAGAGCAACTCGATGCCGTGATCGCCAAGGAAGAAAGAGAATTGCATACTCTGGACGAAGCTCTCCTGCTGCTTGAGAAACTAGAAACTCGATTTAGTGAAAAGGCTCTGACGCTTGATGAGGTCGCCCAGATATTTGATAAATTACACAATGAGTTCAGAGAAGTCTACATCGGGTACGAGTTGCCTTACCTGGGACCTCACTACTTGACTGCACTCTTCAAAGAAGCTCTAAGTACATGGAACCCTCTTGTGAACCCGACACAGCACCAACATTTATTCCGGTTCTGGCAGAAACTTCTGGAGGGAACTGCGTCGAACCAGGGTGTTTTGGACCAGCCGATGGATCCGTACCATCAGCTGCTGCATGACACTTGGTTCACGGCGGTTCGTTCTACAATCCTTGGACCCTGGGAACCACGTGACTGTGGACCACTCATTGCATTAATAGAAGCTTGGAAACCACCTCTGATCCCCGTGTGGCTGTGTGCACAAATATTGCAAAATGTCGTGCTACCGCGGCTGACCCGAGCTGTTCATGAATGGAATCCTCTTGTTGATGCTGTGCCCATCCATACTTGGCTGCATCCATGGCTGCCTCATCTGTCAGATCACATGCACACAATTTACCCCGTCATCAGGCAAAAACTCGCATCCGCTCTTGTGCACTGGCATCCCTCAGACCGATCAGCTAACCTTGTGCTCTCTCCTTGGGTTGGAGTTTTCAGTGAAGTCTCAATGAACTCTTTACTTCAGTCTAGCATCCAGCCACCCTTGGAGAAAGTTCTCCTGGAGCTCCCCATCAATCTGCACGCTCAGAATCTACAGCCTTGGTATTGGTTCCGTGACTGGGAAGATATTCTGCCAGTCTCATCTCAGCTTGACATCTTGGAAAGATGCTTCTTCCCCAGGTGGTTCCAGGCCCTGGGCACGTGGTTATCGTCAGGCCCCGTCCACACGGAAGTCGTGGCTTGGTATAAAGGCTGGCGTGACCTCATTCCTTCCAGGATTATCGGCCACCCTCAAATCCAACAAAAGTTCCAGCAAGCCTTGGAAGTTTCACGTCGGGCCTTGAGTTTCCAGAGCGGTGCTGGAGACCAGTTCGGGATCCTCATTTCTAGCCTTGCTAAATTAGTGGAGGCTCCACCTCCTCCACCACCAGGTTCTCCACCGCCCTCCTCGCCTGTTGCGTCGTCTTCCTTGACCGACGAGGCCCGCGTTGGCACTCTCAGGGACATCACAGAGCGACGGTGCGCTGAACGAGGCATCGTCTTTGTGCCGCTGCTCGATAAGACGCACATGAATCGCCCAGTTTACCGGTGTGGCAAGCGACAAATTTCCTTCCAGAAGAACTTGATTTACGCCAACACTGAAACTGGATGGATGCCAACCAGCCTCAATACTCTGCTGGATGAAGCGTAGTTAATGTTAGGCTTACATAACTTATACGTATTAAGATCACTTGGCTGCTTAAGTCGCAAATTCACCAGGAATTTAAAAGTAAAGAAAATAGCCAAAAAGGTCACCATTTCTTATAAGAGAAAACGTTTCGGAATCCAGCTCCATCGTCACTTCAAAACGCGGCTTTTGAACTAACGATGGAGCTGGTCTCCGAAACGTTTTCTCTTATAAGAAATGGTGAACCTTTTGGCTATTTTCTTTACTTTTAATTTCCTGGTACATAACTTATGTGTTTCTCTGATCTTATATCTAAGGTAAGCCTGTATTATATTATTGGATTTTTTTTTCTAGCGGCTGTTATTCATAAAGAGACTCAATACAATTGAATTTCCATTATTTTTCTGTAAAATATTTTTTTTAACCTGTCATAAATCACCTCAATTAAAAGTCGAAGCAAGATGATGTGGCATAACACCTAAACAGTTCACTAGGTATCGCAACAATTTATCTCATCGCTTGGTTATTTTTCTCGGTATGAGTAACGTTCAATACTGACAGTCAAAACGCGTTTTTTCGACGACGATTGCACTCGTATATGTAATTGATACCGTCTTGCTGATTTTATTAGATGCTTACAAATAAGTTTTTGTATTGCGATTTGAAACGCATTTCAGATTCTCAAACTAATTTGGCTCATGTTTTCAGTTCGATTCTAAGACTGGTTTATTCAGCATTTTAAAAGTCTGCACTTTGTTTCCATGGAAGAAACACGTACATGATGTTTCTTCCATTCTATTTAAGCTTCATGCTTCTCCTTTGTTCCATTCTTTAAAAATGCTGTTGGCTTTCTTCAAATAAATATATTGTAATGGTCATAATTCTCAAACACGACATATACAGCCTATACTGAAGAAGCTCGTGCAGCCTCTGTAACATGTACTAATCACAATCAAATTTTCGATATTTGTTTTAACTATCAAAATATCAAATTCGATATGTTGATAACTATGCACTTCCGACGGTGAATGATAGCATGTGCTAGCTAAAACAAAATTCGATTTTCTGTTACCTCATCGTCAGACGAAACTTCTACAACCTGTGACGGTAGCATTGAAGTATCAACTATCGAAGATTGGTAAAGCCAAGAAGCTTTTTTGCCACGACAAGTTTACAAAAACATTAAGACTCTTCGAAAAATATGTAGTAATAAACGGCCTTGCAAATTACTCTCGTTGTTTTCTTGTTGTCGGAGAGTGTACTCAAGTATTGAAACTTGAATCCTGGGACCTGACTGTAGTTTCCATTACCTTTTTCGCTAACATCCCGCTTAGAGCGAATGTAATTCCTTGTTTGGCTAGAAAGATGGTTAATAATTAGAATCTTTCTTGAAAGATTATTTTGCCTATGATTCGTGATGAAAGCTAGTGCTGGAGGGTTAGTGAATGCTAGTGATGAGGTGTTGTGAATGCTAGTGTTGTGTTAGTGAACGCTAGTTTTGTGGTAGTGAACGCTATTGTTGGAGGGTTAGTGAAAGCTAGTGTTGAGGTGTTAGTGAACACTAGTGTTGAGGTGTTAGTGAACGCTAGTGTTGAGGTGTTAGTGAACGCTAATGTTGAGGTGTTAGTGAACGCTAGTGTTGAGGTGTTGGTGAACTCTAGTGTTGAGGTGTTAGTGAACGCTAGCGTTGAGGTGTTAGTGAACGCTAGTGTTTAGTATACATCGCGGCTAAGTAAACTCGTAGTGCACAGCAATTCCAACTTAACTGCACAACTTCGTTAGGAATACGTCAATACTAATTGTGATATGAAGTTTCACCATTTATCTTGCACTCGAGTATGGCTGAAAATGTTTCATTAATTGCACAGTAACCATCGCTTTGGTCGCGACGCTGGCCCTCAAAGTTTCCAGTCGCACGCCATGACCGACGGCTTTTAGTGATCTCCGATCAATGAACCACCGAGACCGAAAACGTGTCTTTTTCACGCACGCATATTCAAAGTTGGGCTTCAAATATGAACTATCTCAAATGCTAGCTAATAAATTTTTAATAATAACTGGTGCCATAGCAACTATTTTTAGCGTTTTTTCTCATTTATGGAAAAAATGCCCTATTGTGCTCGTCATGAGCGTCCGTCTGTCTGTCTGTCCGTGACTTCACGTTTTCGTCGATTTTGAGAAAATGCGCTCTCTGTCATTCACTGCAGTGAGTACTGAAATATATTTTTTAATGATAAATACGCTTAACGACAGGGAAATTTGTTAATGGTAATAGGTTGCGCTCACTTGCGCCCACCTCCAACTGACCATATCAAAAAGATGTTAATGGTCTCATTACATAAATACTTTTAGACAATAATTGGTTTCTTTGCATTTGATCTGTTTTATTCCTCGTGTCTCTAATTGATTAAAGTTCGATGTATTGTATCTAAAGTACCCAGTGATTTTCCATTGAAATCCGAGTCACTGTAATTATGCAGTACTTTCCTTACTCATGTTATACTACTAGATAAACGTACAGTTGTACAGTATAGTATCTTTGGCATTGAAGAACAGGCCTGGATAGGACTGTGGCCGATTTTTGTACCTTTCTTGACTAGACTGGCCTTTTGATCAGATCTATTCTACGGACGGTAGGTTTAAAATCGTTTCTACATTTTACTACTCGATATTAGCGATAAAGCGCGGCATATTTTATATATTACACTGTCAGTATAGATAATGAGAATCTTATCACTTATGTTATCAACGGTTTGCTTGCGATAACTTATCTACGATCGTGATACCAAATTTCGGAAACTACAGGAAATGCCAGTGACAATCATTTCGGAGTGCAATGGTTCACTTAATCGCTCTTGCTGCGGGACTCTCATGCATGATTATGAGGTAGTTGCATAACACCAAGGTTTATTAATATTGCTTACATAACAATTAACATACCAACAGCTTTAACACCACGAGCGTATGATGTGATGATTACGAGCGCTCACCTGTAAACTGATGCGGTGGTAACAAAGTGATGAGGTGAGGTAAATATTTCAGTGCGCCATTGTACGCGAACCTTATTCAAAATCCTGAGTAGATTCAATCGTGCAAGCGTACATTGCCACTATTTATGTAATATCATAGGGCAAATGTTAAAAATATTGCTTGCTTTTTACCTTACCACCTGAGTGTGTTAAAAAATCCTAATAAAGCCAATAAACGACTTGGACTGATCAGACGCTCTTTCGAGTTCCTAGATTTAGAAACGATGAAGCAGTTCATTATATAAATAATTTTGTACAATAATTGGTTTCTTTGTATTTGATTTGTTTTATTCCTCATGTTACTAATTGATAAGGACAGAAATTTAGCAGAGAGTGTTCAAAGACGCACAACAAGAATAGTTCCGGGCTTGAAAGGCAAGTCCTATGAGGAAAGATTAAAGATTATGATGCTTCCAAGCCTCAGTTATCGACGTCTGCGTGGGGACCTCATTGAAGTATACAAGTATACTCATGACTTATACAAGGTCCCAGAAGGATTACTAGAATTTGAAACAAGAACCAACACCAGGGGCCACGGCTATAAACTAAAACAAAACAGCCTTGGAACACATCCATGCGACAAAATTTCTTCTCGCTTCGAGTCACCGACATGTGGAACAGCCTCCCTGATAGCATCGTTGACGCTCCGAGTATGAACATCTTCAAAAACAGACTAGACGAAGCTATGCAGGAGCATATGTTCAGTCTTAAATGCCTAGCAAATTACGGACCAGGCAATAAGTCCAGCAGCTATCTCAATCAATCGTCAGCTATAGAAAGATCGGGTTCCAAAGGCCGGATCCCTCGTGAATCAAGTCACGAAAAGTTCAAGCATCGGCAACAGGCCATGGGCCTATTTCTTCAACGCCGACACTTCTATTCTATTCTATTCTAAAACACTCTTTTGAGCAGCGCAACTGAAAATTGAACATGCAGAAATACCTCTCGAAATTTGTTGAATATTCATTGCGAAATTAGAGAATTTATGACAATATAGTGACACTAGGGAAGCGAATCAAGCACTCACTAGTAGCACCATTAGTGTATAACCAAGTCTTGACTTGTATGAAGTAGTCTTTACGACTTATGAGTTATTAAAAGTTATGAAAGGTCTCCGGATATTTATTTTAATCCTTCTGTACATTGCCGTACTTATCACACAGTATTATATTCACATTTCTGACGCGAACTAAAAGAATCGCTAAGCAATTCTTAATTTTCTTGATAAAAATTCAATAACTGAAGCATTAAACGGTTCGAGCATCAAGTTCGTTCTAGAATTTCATACTTAATATTTAATTCCAACATACATTGCTTTCTACTTAATATTGGATAACTTAAATTGACACTTGATTGCCACTTCAACGTGTGTGTGAGGTTTCATTGGGGTTATGGAAGGTGCAAACAGTTTACGATAAAGTAATAGCTTCAAATATTTCAAAGTTGCCAGCTGAAAACCAATTCAGCATCGGTAAATTGAGCCAGCATACACAGCTGTTGCTTATAGTCTTCTTTCCGTTGGCTGCATGTATGGTATCCTAGATGCAGAAATACTTTTGTGTCCTAATATTTCTAAGCCAATCATCAGTTATTGAATCCTAAGCTCCACGTGTTGAAATTTCATCACGGAAATTAATAGAAACATCCGATTAGAATGGATTAACGTAGCTATTCAATCAATAAAAAGGTATTTACCATGTGCGTGGATAGGCACCATCTCCAGTGGTAAAAAATAATTTAGTTGCCCTACTGACTCTTCTTCCGCTCCTACTGATTCTTCGTGACGTCATGAGAAGCAGTGGAAAAAGTGAAGATGGCTGCCCTCGATGACAGCCTTACAAAGTTTGAGGGGAAATTATGGACTTTTTGGACTCGTAGCTCTGGAATTTCTAATTTATTAAGTAAGTGAAGTGTACAGGAAGGTTTTCTCTAGTATATTCTGTCAATCGTGTTAATGAACGGTGTGTTTAATCGGCGGTACGTGCTCTCTGAATCGCGTGAATTTTTCTCCCACGATCTCCTGAAACGCCACTCTTATTCAAGTTTGTTTTTATTTCAGGTCTGCGAAATAATGATGATCATGGCAAAGTCAGACCACAAGCTTCCACATCTCTTCTTAAAAAAGAAGGTATGTACTACTATCGAAAATTTTTTTTTTTCAATTTTCTTTTTTAACGAGTGTGTTTACACGAGAAATTGATGAAAAAAAACATGCTCGTACACGCACAGCTCGACATAACTTGTTATTACTATTATTTTTTATCAGCTGATGCCTGAATATCCACTTGACGTTCGTGCAATTTGGGGCAAAAAGTTAAAAAAAATGTATTTATTATTACTAATGAAGAGAAGAAGAAAGTTTTCTCTTTCTTATTATTAAATAAATTGTAATATAGCTAGGTAAATCTTGAATTCATCTTGCTTTGAAATTTGCAAATTAGGCTAGCTATTCATTTAATATTGATACAGTAGAAATGGTCAAATCATGAGTTTAAACTACAGAAAAAATCTTCCATCTTCCAGAAGTGGAAAATTGGGCAGATGTCAATTGTCAAAATTGGTTCTAAACTTCTAAAACACCTGTGGATCTTGCTAATTTTATCCATTCCCATAGCAATTTTACAAGTCTTTCAGTAAAAAATTAGTAAAATGGTACTAATGTTATTTGCAGGTTCTATAAATTACTTGTTAAAAAAATAATTTGTACCTAAAATTGGTAATTCTTTAGATTAAGTACGTCCAAAAAAGGGTATTTTTATTTTTTAATTAGGCTATATGTTTTTTGGAGTGTAGACTGTAGATGAACTCAGGGTAAATGCGGTATATTCCGACACTTTAAGAACGCATCGAGAAATGAAAAACTATAAAAAAAAACGTATGCGTTACGTAAGTTCTGTTGCCTTCACATGACTCTCAAAACACTTCACTACGCGTCAATGGAACTAAGGCCAAGCTTAATATAAAGGAAAAACTAGAGAAGTGACGGAATTACCTACGATGTCGGAATATACCGCGTTTACCCTATGAAGAATCTGAAATCCGTTTTTGGTGGTCAGCATTGGAAATTTTTAATGGAACCTGTTCCTAACTGGACCTAACCTGCGAGGTTTTCGTTGATTGCCTAGGTTTTTCCGGCCGCCGGACGGACTCCAAACATAGGAAAAACCTAGCCCATCAACGAAAACCTTGCAGGTTAGGTCCAGTTAGCGTTAGGAACAGGTTCCATTAAAAATTTCCAATGCTGACCACCAAAAACGGATTTCAGATTCTTCATCTACACCCCAAAAAACATATAATTAGAAAATAAAAATACCCATTTTTTGGATGCACTTAATCTAATGTACAGGCTGGAATTCTAAAATTCGTGGTTCACATAAAAAAAGCGTCCCGCCTTAAAAAAAAATGTTCCAGGCAACTAGAAACAGATTTGCAGGCCTTCAGAAATCAGCTTCGGTTATGGTAGCTATGATCGTATGAACGTCAAGTCAGGCAACATAGAGAAGGTCCCATGCAAGATTGTTAATTGCGCGCGTCACTCACAGATGAGCAAGAGGGATGGATCTACAGAAGGAAATACTATTTACTCCCAACATAATAGTTTCAAATTAAGTATAAAAAAACATTTATGGCACCTATTCGTTACCTCGGCTTTCAAATTGAGGAGAAACTCATCGGCTGTCAGAGAAACTTCTCGAAGAAAAGGCAATGCACAACAAACAACATGACACTTCACAGTTGACTGACTAGAATAAACTCATTAGTCAATAGAGTACTCGAAAGTCAAAAATTTAGCATTCAAACCTTTAGATTCTGTGAACCTTGTGATTTCTTCATTATTAAAACTTTAGAAGGCTCACAATATATCGCGTAAAGTTTTCACTCAATTATCGTCTCGAATTTTGGGAGCTTTATCTTTATCTGCAGTAATGTTCTGTAGTTACCTCATCAATTGCGTAATGAGAACTAACCACTAACCATCATAGGATTCCCGCTACTGTTGCACACGATTGATTCTGCATGCATGTATAATTAGTATTTAACTGCAATTCGTAATGAACGCTGCAGCGCGACTCGTTTGTGCCCGGCGGAAATTTGACCACGTGACACCGATTTTGCATGACCTTCACTGGCTGCGCATCCAGCAGCGCACGCAGTTTAAAGTCGCTGTTCTGACGTTCCGCTGCCTCCATGGTTTAGCACCACCTTATCTCGCTGAAGGCCTGCGGCGCGTGTCGGATATGTGGCATCTTGCAGAGACTCATCAGTGATGATGATGGACTGAAAGTGGAAGTGTGCTGGACGTTCCAGATTTTTGGGTCCTGCTTTCTGATTTGCTATGTTTACCAGTTGATATATTACCCCTGTGGAATTCCACACTGCTAAAGTAATACCCCCAAAATTTTATAAAACTGCTCCATATTCCCAATTGGCCAGCTTCAAGCGAAACAACATTTTCCATAACTTTGGAATCTGGTGGCTCAATCTGACACTTAGGTTAATAATAAGATAAAAAGAGATAGGTAAACAAAGAGATAGGGTAAACACACCATATTCTGACCCCTTAAAGACATAGTAAGAAATTAATGGCTATAAATAGATAACTGTATGTGCAACTCAAGTTCTGATTGGTTTATGTCACTCTCAAAACGCCACACTATGCACCAGCAATGATGAAACGTTCCAAACTGTTGCCATATTTATTTATTTGAAATTTAAATCCACAAAATTGCTGAAATCCGATACTGTGTGTGACAAAATGCAGCATATTATGACTAATTCCGACAGCGCTTCAAAAATTGTTATTCGTAAATCTGACACCCTGTGACTGTGTGAGCTGTCGGAATTAGACAGTTTACGACACCCTGTCTGTCGTAAGTCCAACACCCTGTGTCGGAATGAGTTTTTATGAGTCTAAAACTGTGTCTTAAATCAATGATCTATTAATTTATTTACCACTTAAAATCAGCAAATACAAGTATACTTGAAGGATTCCTAATATAGTCACAGACTTATTTGAAAGTCTCAAACCATAATATTCTTTCTACACAGTTTGTCACTATTTAGTAAAGCATGGTCAACTATCAACTTTCATACGCGTTTCAATGTTCTCACTAGTTGACTCGGACTTTTGCTCTTCAGATCTGAACATTTTCTTGCTAGACCTAGTGTTTTGCGGAAATCTGGCGCACAATAGTATGTCATCACTATTTCAACCATCTACACTTGTGTGGAACTAAGGCCAAGCTTAATATAAAGGAAAAAGTTGAGGGGTGTTGGAAGTACCCACAGTGACTATGGTGTGTTTACCCTAATTAATCCGCCATCAAATTCAGGATTGGAATTTTCCTACTTGTTACTGAAATTTTGTTGCTCCAAAGTTTAGTGTAATTCTAGAAAGAGGTACTTATGGCTCTGCCTCAGGGTCATGTGCCCCCCAAGGGGGCCTGCATGGTATCAAACTAGTTTTTTGCCTAACTCACTTTCAAATGCATTCAATCTGTTCATAAATTCATAATTCACATTCACATTTCATTATTTTACCACTGTACCACACAGGGACAGGACAGCTTGTGTCAAGTACTTTCAAAGTTTGTTTTGTTCGAATGTTCTACTTTGATTTGATTAATTTTTTAGCACTGTCACAGGTTCACAATGGCTGTGTCACCTTCTGATTGCTCTTCTCATAATGAGAAATAAATACCAGCCTGTTTCAAGGAACACCCTCCAAGAAGAGCAGTGATACTAGCTATGTAGCCTATGTTTATGAGTTTTATTGGTTATTTTTTAATAGTGCAATTATAATGGTTCACAAGTAATTCACTAAAATACGTTTCACAAGTATAGAGTTCACTAAAATGGTACAAAAATTACAAGCCCTTACAATCAGTAAGCTTACAGATGCAGAAGAAATGCTATATGCTGCTGATATGAAGCTTTCAGTAGACAAGATTGTTGTCAATGCTCAATGGCAGGTCTGCCACACTGATACTTGGCAAAACTACTACCACAACACTGCTGCCCTCACCCCAGATGAAAATGCTGCCTAGGACGCTGAAAGAAGTACCCAAAAGCATCTTTAGAATTGACAACCTCAAGCAATATCTGATTGAGTGCTACCTGCTGCAGGGGATCTAGCACAGCACCAGGACATATGTCAGAAAAGACCCATACCCTTGAAAAAACAACGCATTTGTGTCAACACGCAACTAATTAAGATGAGACGAGAGAAGTTGGAGCAAATCGAGCCTCAGAAATAGAGAAGCCTACCAAGACCAGATGGATCGTGCTGTGAGCCTGAAAACTACAAAGAAACACAACCTTTCTAAACCGAATATTGCAACTTTGGCGCGAAATAGACGAAACTCATCTGAAGCTCTAGAAATTTCTTCACTACTACTATATATACTAATTGATGGCATGCCCATGGATATGGTAACATCACATCAATAATATGGTAATGTATGGACATAGTAATATATCAGTAAAGGAAAAATGAGTACAAATCACAAAAAATCTCATTTATTCTTCTGCTCCTACTGATTCGTTGTGACGTCATGAGCAGCAGTGGACTGTGGAACACAAAGGAAGTGGAGGACTTTGGAGTACCGTAAAATGGGGTAACTTAGACCACTTTTATTTTTATAAATGATGCCATTTTTTTACTAGCTAAATTAAACTTGAATTGAAACATATAAAAATGGAACATAATTCCTAATGAATAGAAGAAAAATTCTAAAAATGGAACATAATACCTTATGAACAGAAGAAAAATTCTAATAACAGACCAGTCTGAAGATGCCAATTCAATGCTCAAATAATGTCAACTCAAATGTACACTTGTGGTGGACAGCAGTTGCAAATTGCTCACCCCCATTGATAAAATTTTAATATCTAAATCATAAGTAGTTTAAAAACAAGAAAAGGGCACATGAATTTATTATATTTTATAGTGAATGTTTTGAGGTCCAGCTTGATTACCCATTCAAAATTCCAGACTATGGATAAAATTGGTTTTAGTACAGTAAAAATTTTATGGACAGATCTTGAAACCTAAAATTATGAATGAAAGATGAAGGAAAAAAAAAGGTTACCCAGTACTCACTGAAGTGAGTGAAAGAGAGTGCATTTTCTCATTGACAAAGACGTGAAGTCAGACACAGACAAACTGACATGACGAGCACAATAGCGCCTTTTTAGCGCATTTTCTCATTTATGAAAAAATGCACTAATGTGCGCTATGTCCATCTGTCCGTCCGTCTGTCTGTCCATCTGTCCATCCATGTCTCCGTGACTTCATGTTTTCATCGACGAGAAAATGTGCTCTCTGTCACTCACTGCAGTGAGTACTGAGTTATATTTTTTTCCATATATGAAAAAATGCGCTAAAAAGAGAAAACATATCTACAATTTCTAGTGGTGGGTAAGAGCTGAAGGCTGTATTCAAACTGGACCTCTGTGTTAAAATGAGTTTACAAGGATTATAAAATATGCAAATGAGAAGCACCAATGATGCAAGCTCAAATCTTCCAGTCAATTGAAAATATTGGCTCATTATCCAGCTGGGTGTGAGGACGCCAAATAGGAGGGATGCACTAGTACCTATATAAATAGCCAGTACTATAATTCCTCCCTTTATGTTCTGCCAGGAAAGATTGTTTGACATCATACCAATGTACACAGATGCTCATCATGCACAACTGTAGTAAGTAATTAGAGACAATTGTGTATGACTATGGAAAATATCTTTGTACCTAAAGAAAGGTAGGATTTTTTGATTACATTGCATTGGCTTGATGATGGAAACCAATAAGAATGCTTGTGGTTTGTAGACAAACTTTTTTCTAAACCTGATGCCTGGATTATTTAAAAATGGAATGAGTTCATGTGTCAGTCCTCAGTTCAGCCCTTGTGGTGTGCCATTGAATGTATGATATCATTATATTATATAGTTGTTTTGCCTATTTTACAATCCAGCATCTATTAATGGCATCACTTTTCCATGCAGGAAAATACTTTAAATTTCCAGGGATGATGTAGGTACATAAGCAGTACTTATGAAATTTTGTTCTCATAGTAACTATAATCTTCATCTCAAAATCTCTGCCTCATGTCCCCCTCTTAGTGTTAATAATGTGCATTTAATAAGTACATTTTAAAGACCACACTTCTAAAGATGCCTGTGTCTCTGATATACAATGAATTTCTTATTTTATTTCAAACTATTTGAAAAAAATTCTTTTTAAATATTCATTTTTTTCAAATTTTAAAAAATACTTTTATTCTGTCAACTGATTCATGCATTGTCTTGTATTTAACTCGAGCGTGCAAAAATTCAGATCAATTGGTCAGGTAGAAGTGTGTTAAATATTGATTATAAGATTTGTAGCAGACAGACAAAAAACAAGAACTGAAGTTCAAGAGAAGTGTGGTAAAAAGTAGTTTTAATGATATTGCTTATCAACTATGAACTGTCAACTAAGCCTCATTTTATATTTAGCATGCCCTACTGGGGCTACTGCACTCTAGAAACTTAAGATTAAATTGTTAGAAAAACATTTTTTTCTGAAATTTTTTCCTAAATCATGAAAGAAGCAGTAGGTATGTGTTTTTGAACAAAATATGTAACATAAAATTATTTGGTTCTCGATATTTGATTTTGTAATTTTTTTATATCATTTATTCATCTTTTACAATTTATGTATAGACATATATTATATTAATTTATCAGTTACTATTAGTGCCTTAAATCTAAATACTTTTTGAAACATGTTTATAAGCAAATTTTTCTTAAAATTTGTCATTCTTTCTAGTTGTAACATGATAGAAATTTGAATTCTTTGATTCATGAGCCTATCTTCTAAATGCCCTAATCCTGAAAAAATGTTTTCAAAAATTAATAAAGCTGGCTCCCAAGCCATGAATTTTGAGAGCCATGACAATACAGGAGAATTGCTTCTTTTCATCAGAATAAAGTGTGATGGGTTTCTTTGGTTGCAGATATGGCCACTTATGGCTACTGTCCAGTGTGGGAAGACTTTTATCTCGTTGTCTGTGACTTCTGTGGAGTGTCTGTTAAGCCTCAGGCTCTCAAGCATCACATAGGTAAGTTTTGCTTCATTTGCATTGTGTAGATTTCCAAGAAGATTTTGTTTATTCAATAAAAACACATTTATGATTCAATTATAATACCTACTTGAACACCATTTCAATTCAATATTATAACTCTTTGATTCAATTATTTACTTTGATTTGAATTAGCTGGCAATCATTTGAGTAAATATTTTTGCATTTCTTCAGCCACTCGAAACATACTTTACTTGGGGATGCCATATATAATAGATTATTTAAAAGAAAGAGTCCTGGTGAAATTATTAACAGCAGAAGTGAATTTGAAATGCCTTCGGTTATCTAAAATTATGTGTGTGAACAAATTATAACCTAATATCTCATCTTTGCATTTACAAGCAAAATCATATTAAATTATTAGAAAAATATCTGACAATTTTTCAATGGTGTACCGTACCTATGTAACACAATGTTGCGTATTGTACAGTATTATACAATATCACAATAGTTAGTTGTCTATTCAACCATGTTCGAGTAGATATATAAGTTTGTAAAATAGAGCTCACTGGAACAAAGTATTTTATCTTGTCCATGTTATTTTTCTATGAAATTGAACTCATAATAATTTGATTATCATGTTTGCTGGCATGTCCACATTCAATCAACAATGTTATTTATCAGCAAAAACATTTCTGTGTTTTGTCCTTAATTACTTATTGATGTAGAACTGAAAACATTGAGATGTTTAATCTGTTGCAAAACTTTTCCAGAACAACAACACGGCATTGATAAGGTCTTCTTAAGTTCTTCTGACAAGCCTTGTGATGCCATAACTGTTAGTGCTGCGGCTGCTTCGTCGTCAACTAGCTGGGTCTTTTCTGGCAGTGACGAAAGTAAAGCTTCTAGTGTGACGTCTGATAACATCACTGAAGTGACATGTCTGGGCGCCAGTAGCAGTTCACAAAACAAAACACTAAAGAGACTACTAGAAAAGAATCCAAGAAGAAGCCCAACTGGATCTTTCTTGACTGGAGACAGACAAGATTCTGGTTTGGGTCTATCATTCTTTGGCAGCTCCAGCCAAGATTCAGATTTGCCAATGGAAATCCCAAATGTTGCTCCTTCCACTTCAATATCTGCAATGACTAACACCCTGCATACCAAACATGAGACATTCGCCTCCAATTTATCAAACCACAATTCTGACAGCTATGTCCATTTAAGAGCTGCTCTTGATGGAGTACCCCAAAATACATCTAATTTCTCCTTATTAGAAAATGGCTCTACACCAAGAACAGTCATGCAAGCCTCCAATACTTTGCCTTATTCTAACTACTCCAACGTGAGAGTTTCACAGAGCTCCTTGACTAACAGTTGTCGGAACATAAGTAGGTGTAGCAATAGTAACAGTCATGGGAGTAATAGCACTATTAGCAATAACGTAGCATTAGGTATTAGTAATGGTCTTGACTATGGTGAAGGAGGCACTGAACTCATAGGAAGGAATAGCTCATCAAGAACAGTCATCTCTCCTGGACTGGATTTTCCCTCACCATCGCCATGCAGTTTATCTAAAGACGACGAGGACAGCCTTGATAGCAGATTACGAGCCCTGCACAGCCCTCAGGACGACTCTTCTCCATCCCTCATTCCGTCATCGTCACAGTTGCCGAGCTTGGCAGGTGACGGTGTTAGTAATCAAGCTTTCCCCTTGGAAAGTAATTCCCTCCACCACCATGGAAGTAATTCTCTCCATCAGACTCGAGCACTGCCGGATCTTTCCCTTGATAATAATTCAATGCTAAACCCCTCGCCTCACTACACTGGGCAGCTTAGTGTTGGGCCACTCAGTGTTGAACCCCAGAGTATCGGGCCCCAGTCAGTGGGTCCTCACAGTGTTGGGCCTCCCAGTGTGGGGCCGCCTAGTGTCGGGCCTTCCAGCGTTGGCAGTTCTGGCATGACTCCCAGTCATGCTTCATTTACGAGCAATCGGCCCAGTGGCATGAACACAAGCTTGAACAATCATACCAACAGCAGCACTAATGATTTTTGTGGGATGTTGTCCTCGATATCACCCTCTGGTGTTATGATGTCCATGGACGGACACATCGATAGCAATAGTAGGAGTGATGGGAGCAATAACACTCCTGTGTTACACTCAGCTTCTCCCGCCGTTGATAGTGCCGAGGAGGAAGTTAAGAGGATATCTGCCATGCTGCAGAAGGAGGTCGAGGCCTTGACTGCATCTCAGCAACTTAATTCCAGATCTCGTTCTATGCATTCACTTCCCTCAGGCAATTCTTTACCTCCTCATGACATTGTCGAGGCCCAAGTCATGGTTGGGCGGAGACATCACTCTAGCTCCTCTTCTCTTTTAGGTGTCACCTCGCAAGCATCGCACAATTCTTCCACTGCCAGTATAGGTTTGAGCAATTCGTCTATTGCTATGTCTAATACTTCCAATGAATTTTCAACTTTACATTCAAATAATAACACATTGACGTCCTCGAGAAGAGCTAATAACGATAACGGTGTTCAAGTGACTAATTTGGGTAGTAATAACAATAGTAACTCTAATAATATGGGATCTGTTCCTGTTCCTATAGGCCATATGTCTGTTGAAACCCTCAACCAAATCCAGGCTGATTTATTGGCGACGGTGAGTGAGTCTGACTTGAATGCCGTTTTGAATGCCACGCCTGACTCGTCTGACCCATCGTTGTTACCTAATAACTCTTCTCTTGTTTATTTTCCTGACAACCAAACTGTGCAATTCTCTGACTCTTTGTCACTCACATCCGATAATTTTTCCTCGAATCAATTGTCAAGTTCTGGGAGCATATCTCAGGTGCAATTTAGTAATGAACAATTAAGTATGCCGGTCTTGGACTCGGGGGATAGTCCTGTTACCCTGCAGCAGTCGAGCTTCAGGAGTTTGGGTCTTCTGGACCAGTCAGACCAAATGCGGCTGTCGGATGCTTCTCAGGCGGAAGAACTGACAAACGCTGTCAATTCAATCACTCAGCCTGGGCAAAACAATTGCATCAATGCTTATGATTCACCATTAGGTAGTTTTATTCAGCCTAACTCGCACTTGCCTATGGTTGTATCGTCGCCAGCGCCATCTCCATCACCCACAGTCTCGTTTTGCTCCGTGAGTTTGGCAGCTGCGTCCCCTTTGAGTGCATCAAGTGTCTCGAGTTTACCTCTGACACCTCTTGTGGCAGGAAGCAACGTCCAAGACGTCACGTCGCTGGGACAAAGTGTTTGCACTACTCAGGGTATCACGGTCGTTATTGGTGGCACTGCAACTCCTATCACTTTACCTCAGTCTCCCATCACCTCGACTAATAGTAAAAAGGCAGTATTCAGCAGTCAATGCATAGTAAGCCAGAGTCCCACACTCACCCAGTCTCCATTACAATCGAGTTTCAGCAGTGGAGGTCACACTACACCCATACACAGCCTCCCCTCTCAAAGTACCACTCCTTCCCCTAAGAAATCGAGCAAAAAGAAGAAGCCTTGCGAGGCGCGAAAGATCGTACCACTCAAAGACAGAGAATACAATCCAGAGAAGCACTGCGGTGTGCTTGTGGCTGAGACTGGCAAGCCGTGCACGCGGTCCCTCACTTGTAAGACCCACAGCCTCACTCTAAGAAGAGCTGTCAACTCTCGGAGTAAAAAATTCGACGAGCTTCTCTTCGAACACCGCGCTAATAAGACGACCAAATCCGGCGATGGAGCGAGTAGCTCCGGAGCTGTTCAGGTGGGCATTACTTTATTAAAGCAGATCGTAAGCGCATGCTATCGTTTAATTATTTGTTATTAATATATTTTATCTCACAAGGAATAATAGGTTGCACGAATTTTGTGGAAAAAGTTGTTGGTGAATGTGGTTGCTATTTGAACATCAATGTTTTACTATATTTTATCATTTATGTGTTATTAATCTTTTATGCATTTACATGTTTTTATTGTTGCTACGTTACTCGAGAATTTGAAATTTCTGAACCTATCATTTGAAAATTCCTTAAAAAACTTTATCTACGAATTTTTCGTGGATCCAAGTTACATTTGTAACAGAATTTCTTATCTCAATGGATATTTTTGTGTATTTACTTATAATCTTCACTTAGTAGGCATTTCTTTCCTGTTTCATGCAACAAATTGAATCAAATATCGAATCAAAAGCATTGATTCGAGAAAAATTGAACCATATTTTGGCAGGAGCCAGACACAATTTTCTTAGCATCAAAATTTTTAAATTTTTAAGCCTTATGGTCAATACGTTTTGACCATAATGTTGGCCAAGTCCATTTTATAAACTCTCTTCATACGCTTCTGTTTCAGTTCTGTCTGTAATATTGCAAAAAACATCCCATAAAGCAGGTTCAAGAAGCGTACCGTACTAAGATCACGAGCTCGATAATTTTCTCTGGCTATTTGACAACTCACTGCAATCCTCTTTGCACTGCTGTTGACCAGTTGTTTAGTTACCTACTTTACAAACTTGTTTTGTTCACTAAATGCGATTGGTGTGCTTGATTCTGTGCAGGGAGCTTCAACTCCCTCTCGAGGTGTGACTACCCCAACCACCACCACCACAACAACCTCCTGCATTTCATCTACTAACTCTACCATGGTTGCTGGCGTTAATCTAACCATGGTTGGTGCTACGAGTGGTGGTGGCCCTTCGTGTTCCCCTCTTTTGGCCCGGAGTTTGAGTGGCGCCTCTGCCTCCACTACTCCAGTTACCTCCCTCCATCAGCAATACTCCACGGACTCCTCACACTCCTCCATCCATCCCCCCGCTTCCCCTTACCAGTGGGCGGCTTCCCTAGCCATTGTCCGACCATCTAGAACCCACACTGACAATTTCTACTCTACATCTCCTCCTCAGCCCCTAGCCGTGAGTTTTATTATTGAGTATTGATGCAGAGTATGGCTGCTTGATTTTTTATACCATGGAATATATCTTTTCGTCAGTGCACCAAAGAATTGATGCAGAGTATGGCAGATTTGGTATGGCTTGGACCATGGAATAAATCTTTTCATCTCTAGTTCACCAAAGGTTTTTGTCTCACAAGATTCTTTATGTGATTTTTTCTTACTTAACAGATTCTCTTATGTGGAACATAAGCTTTCCAACTTGAAACTCGAGGGACTTGCATGATTATCCTGATTCTTTTGCGTGCGTGATGGTTGAAACTTGTTTACTATGTGCTGCAACCAAGTAATATATGTATTATATCCACCACATATCAAAGATATTATCAAAATGTTGCAATATGTAGTTACTTGTAATTACCTTTGCAGACATGCTCATACAACACACGTCGTCTGGGTGGATTCCTAGCCACAGAGCACAAGAATGACTTGCTGCGCAGCGTTCTGCGCACCGCACTGAAGAAGCCCTCTCCTACTTCGTATATTATTGACTCGAGCTGCAGCAGTGGTTCCCATAGCGCCACGGTCTCAGGAACATTGCCTGCTGTTGCGGCTGAACGTCTTAACAACGTCAAGCCTTTGCTAGCGCGCAAACTGCAGGCAACTGTGCCACTAAATGCTTTAGCTACTAATAAAGATGGCATCACAGTCAGCACAGGCTACAACGGACACATTCAAGTGGCTGCTAGCAGTATGGGAATAGTGGGTACAGTAGCTGGCGGACAATTAAAACGAGGTGTTCATCATATAGATAGTATTGTTAATAAGAACGTCAGCAACCTCCCTAAGAACTGTAAAAACAAGAAAATTAAAGTTAGTGAGAATGGCCCCGGAATTAGCCTGCTCAACAGCGTTGTACAAATAGATGCCAATGGAAACGCCAAAAATCACGGCATTCCAGTAGTGGCTGTGACGATCCCGAATGGATTATCTTCTCAAACAATAAACTTGAGTAACGTGAATTTCAGCGGCATGCGCACGGTGGGCACAAGTCAGCCTATACGCATTCATCCCTCAACCATGAAAACCTACGTCCGTGATCAGATAACTGGTGAAAACCGGCCTACAACCGTCACGGGAGTCTTGAGTAACGTTGTCGTCAGCGCCGCGACGTCTGCCTCACCCGTCACGGCTGCAACCGTCGGCCAGACCATCAACACGGACGGCACAAACATCGTTCTCAACCCCGGCACGACGAGCTACCTCATCGCCGACGGCCTGAAGTCCTTTAAAGGCGATGCAAGCGGCGGCATTAGACTGGAGCTGCATCCTAGCAGCGCGTTCTCGGCAGACTCGCGCTTCATTCACGCCACTCAACTCTCTAAAGGTAGAGCGGTCATCTCATTCTCTGTGGTGATATAAACTCTCTAAAGGTAGAGCGGTCATCTCATTCTCTGTGGTGATATAAACTCTCTAAAGGTAGAGCGGTCATCTCATTCTCTGTGGTGATATAAACTCTCTAAAGGTAGANGGTATATCATCAACTGGTCATGTTGGTGATTTTTTTGATTCCCAAAATGTTCACATTAAAAATCAAGGTCTCTGAAAGTTTAAATGTAGTTTTTCTAAAGATGGTCTGCGAAAATCCTGCTATATAGCTCAGCAATGAAGTGAGTCAAGTAGTAGCTATAATTTTGTGTTTCTCTGTATGGGTCATTGATGGTGCCGGATACACGATAGAATAAGGCAACGAGAAGACGCCTTGGTCACCAGTACCAGTATCTTTTAGTATTACCTCATACTGCAATGTATTTTTTGTTTTTATTTAAGGTTTTTATGGGGTTGAGCCTCTAAAAAACCAACCACCAGTTTACTGGACGATGAGTTTCTGACTTCCTTTAGCAGAAAATAATCAAAAATAATTTATTTTCGGTAATGTTACTTATTACGTGCACCGTCAAACTTGCCCCAAATAAGCTTCGGTATTTTTTGGTGTTCAACATGCAGTCTCGCGTGTTAATTGTTTTTGTTGGTTTAAATTTTTATTGCACTTACTTTCTTAGTTACTTCGTTTGTGTAGTGCTATTCTTACATGAAAGAGTATGTTGGCATGAAGTTTACGCTGTACGTCTGCTTTCAGTGGTAACAAGCAGCGGTGTGGTCAGTGCGTCGGGCGGCAGCGGGTCGACCAGCATACCACTGAGTCAGCCTCAGCAACAGGTCACCTACCTCGCTCCAGCCGTGGCCTCTAGCACCAACCAGCCTCTCACACTCCAGCAGGTCCAACAGGTCGGTTACTCAGTGTATTCAGTGAGTCATAAGTGAAGTTCTTGGCTAATGTAATGGCTAAGCCAGCCTCAGCAACAGGTCACCTACCTCGCCCCAGCCGTGGCCTCTAGCACCAACCAGCCTCTCACACTCCAGCAGGTCCAACAGGTCGGTTACTCAGTGTATTCAGTGAGTCATAAGTGAGATTCTTGGCTAATGTAATGGCTTAGCCAGCCTCAGCAACAGGTCACCTACCTCGCACCAGCCGTGGCCTCTAGCACCTCTCACACTTCAGGTCGGTTGATGTTGCTTGGGGTCATTACTGTGAGTCCTGCTAATTTAAGGGCTGCAAGTTGGTTGTTGTATCACTCACTTAAGGCTGTTGTTCTAGCTGTAGATTAGTTGCTGCCTCATCGATGATTCATGCTGCCACATGTTGTAGATTGACACGATTGAATGTTGCAAATTAATAGCTGGCTTGTTTTGCCAAAGTGGTTGTAAAAAAAACTAATAAGGCTTTTCAAAGGAAACTTACAAAATGAGGTTGGTTATAGGCTGTGCTTTGATCCATGATAGTTATTTATAAAGCATAGTTTAATTAGTCAACAAAAAATTTTAAAATGTAATGGTAGCTTGTGAGTTAAACAACATAATTGTATTACAGTTCAATGAAAACAGTTCAACCTGAAAAAACTCAATGATGTTGAAGCTCTACCAAACTTTCTAGCTTAGTGTGAAGTGAATCAAAATTATTACTGAATTATGCGACTTGCAATAACTGATATTGCTTGTATGTATCCATTGTATTAACATTGTACGGTCGAGCAATAATGCCCATTGACAATTAGCATGATTTTTGGTCACTTGTGTAATCTCAAGGTCACGGGACTCCAATGTTTTATGAATGCAAGCATATTCTTGTGATTTTGAACCTACTTTATGTGATAGTTTTTTGCTAAAGCACTGAAGAGGATCGATTGCTATGTCCTATCTCAGCTCAATGTTCATGTAGTGCGTGTAAGCTTGATTGTCCGTTTGATATATGCTGAAAAGAAAAAAAAATATTTATGAAAGACTCCATTTTACTTTTTTCAATCTATTTTAACTTAGAACAGTATAAATAGAGCACTTTACTGGAACGTGTAGCTTATTTTTGCTTTTTTGTATGAGCTCGTGCACATAAATTAGAAGTAATCTTAATCAGAAAAGAAATCATCAGAAAATTTGTATACCGTACATTAACTGGTGGTAGTTGTGACTTAACAGTATTGGTGGTAGTTGTGACTTAACAGTACTGAATTAAAACATGAATTGAATGAAATCTTTCTTGCAGGTATTGAACCGACTGCAAAGCAAAGGAGGCGGATTTAAACTTTACCCTTCTAACGCTGCCAGCAACGCGAGTGCAGTAGTAGCCCGAGCCACTGCAGCCTCTGGTGGTGCTGTGGCGTCCACCACACCGCACCACCGCACCACCTACGTCATCCACCAGGACAACCAGCCATCCTGACCCCTCTCACAGCAGTCGCATCAAATCAGCGTCATGCAGCAGGGCCAGAGCATTGTCCCTCAGATCAACATCGCTACTGCTCAGCAAATTAGTCCTGGCAAGCAACAAGCGTTGTCGGGTAGTCACGGCGTTGCAGCTGTGTCAGTTCAGCCTCAGCAGCATCACTTTGCCATTGCTCAGCATGCTCCCCATAATGTTAGCATCGCGCAACAAAACGTTCTGCCTCAAACGCATCAGTCTGTTGGTGCGCATGCTGTACAATCAGCTCTGCCTGGCATACAGTCTTGCATCGCGCAGTCAGTCATCCAGCCTGGGGGAGCTCACTCAGTTATGCAGCCTGGGATGGCTCAGTCTGTAATTCAACCTGGCGTTACTCAATCAGTACTTCAGCCCAGTGTACAAGTCGTGACATCAACAGGACTGCAGCCTCTACTGGCACCGGCGTCTGTTGTGGCGTCTGCTCTCACGCCCACACCTCCACCTACTCCCTCCGCTGGTTCGCTTAGCATTAATGTCGTTGGAACGGAGAATTATCGTGACAACAGTACTCTGTTCGCCAGTGGTAATGTTACCACAACTAATAACCCACTACTGTCTCCTGTGCAGCAACAAAGTTCATCTGCGAATCTCACTCAGACAATTTTCCCTGCAGGCACACTTTTTGCGAGAAGTGAAGACGCAGCGATTGCATTGTCAGCTGGACTCACACACTCCCTCGCTACCATTGTCTCATCCGCTACTAGCCTTGCCCCTGCAGTTTCCCCATCTATAACTGCCTCTGCCGCTCCTCCTATTTTACTCACTTCTTCTCTTCTTCCTAGTACCACGACTGCCTCCTCTCATCACCTCATTCTACCGTCTTCGGACCTATTTATGCCAGTAGCTAATGTCTCCAGGGCTCCTAATGCGATTACTGGTTTGGATCAGACCTCGTCTATTGGTACAAACAAAAGCCTTACCACTTCTTCAGCTCTTCCAATCACAATTGTTCCTCATCAGCCAGTTTTGCCGTCGCAGCCAAACCAACTACAATCTTTACAAACGATTCAGTCTCAGGCAGTTCAAGTAAATGATCAGAAATTCCTTTCTTTACTCTCGCCCTCGATATCTCAGCCAACCTCCATCTCATGTGCCAGCTCCCAGAGCCTAGCTGCGTCCATAGTGGCATCTTCTTCTCAATCCATCACCCAAGGGTATTCGACACCAAGCAATACTACCTCTACGATCAATTCCACTGCAAGAAGCAAAACATTGAACCCTAAAACAAGTACTCTGGCTCGACTATTGCAACAAAACAGTCATCAGTATACTAAAATCTGCGGAGAAGACTGGTCAGAAGTTTACGGCCGAGGCACCGGTGGAGGCAGATATCGTGTTGTTGTAAGCAGCAGTGGTGGTGCTGGTGGTACCAATATTAGCATTACTGATAAACGAAACTTTAATACTTCTAATAACCGCAGTAATTTTAGTCCGGGAGTTGCGAATTCGAGTAACTTGAACAATTCGCATATTGTTACTGCAGTGAGTAAGTCCTGCAGTCTCGCTCAACTTGGAGTTACAGAAGTCAAGGATAAAAGCAGTTGGGCTGGCTCAAATGCAGCCACCAGCAACGGGCCTTTGTCCTACGAGAACAAATTTTCTCCCTTGACGACAGAGAGTAACATTGCAGGAGCTGCTGGCGATGTCCTCGGTGATGCTTCGAGGTCTGCATCTTCTGGAGCGGGTGACGTTCTTGTTCAGAAAAACCAGAACAAACCGCGATGTTCCTCACCGTTAGTGTGTCTCGTCTTAGATGAATAGAACCTCGTGCTCTCTTTAGGGGGTATTTGTGTGTTACGAACTAAAATTTTGTTATTTGACAGTTTGCTTTGAGCTAAAAGTGTAAGGCATACCTTATCACAGCAGTACAAATTGTCGGTGGGAACTTTTTTATTTTATAAGTTAGAATGTACATTCGCCCGATTCAGTAACAGTGAATAATAATACAAATTTCTTAAGGTGATTTTTTTGGTTTGTTACTCGAAAAACCATTTCTAGGTTGATGAAATAATTTTGAACAATTTATTTAATGTGTTACAGATTTTTTACTCAAGCTTTACCGCATTTCTGATGAGGCAACTAAGTGCCAGAGGCAAGACAAAATTGTGCAAATTTTATTGTTAAGTTAAATTGGTTTACGTTGATTTGCATTGGAAGATGTTGTTCGTAAAGTTGGAAATACTTGAATAATATACAAGATTAACTTAACTATCAAGGAAAGATATTTTCAGCGAAGCATTCATTTATGAATTAATCATTGTACGCTCCTAAAGATACTTTGAATAATTGGTGAAACGATGAAAATTTGCAATGTTTACACAGTGCAGATAAATCGTTAAGTAATTGATTCGTTTCCTGAGCAATCTTTGCAAACTGAATAGGTTGGCGATTTATTTCTTCCGTTTACCTTTTTTTCGGCTATTTAGGACAAAATTATAACTTTCTATAGCCTTATTAGTGATTTACCTTCTAAATAATCCTCTTAACATTTTTCTCATATAGGTGATTCACACGTTTTTGCTGTGTTGGTGCAAGACAATTTCAGTGCAGCATCTTGATGCTTCAAGTTAATGAAGCATTTTAAGCTCGGCGTGGTTGTGATGATGGTGCTTGTGAGTGGCATGCTTCCGACACCAGTTAGTGCAATGAAGAACCTGGACCGAATGTCCAGAGTTGATACCATCAAGTTCTATACCCATGGTTCGTTTAATACTGCCCTACGTTCTGTGATGATCTTGAAAGTTCTGATCGTGAATAGAAAAATTGAAGGTCTTAAAAATCGTCGTGAAAATTTGACTGCAGATTAGTTTGAACACTATATCTTGTATGTTCTCACCTAAGACGAGATGACAAGTGTTTCTTGATAGGCAATCAATTGAATTTTTATATCGCATACGATGTCTATAATACATTTTTGTTATCGTTTAATTTATTTATTTGTATATATGTATAAATATTGTTCATTGTTCGATATTGCTGTGAGGTTCTAGGTGTTTCTGATGAGATTGATATACTTCCTTCCGTTGTGTGCTGAATGTTGTTCAGTGCTCTGCACTTGTCCCATTGCGAACAAATGAAAACACCCATTTAATACTTCAAATGATGCAGTTGTTACTTTGTAGCCGTACGTTTTCTGTGTGTTCCATGACTTCTTGGAGTCGTCAGTGTCTTACGCTGGTGTGCCCTGATGCTTCGTTGCACTTTAGCGTTGTTTGCATGCGAAATTTTCCTCAGATATTTTTTCATACTACATTTTCCTCAGAGGTAAATGTCTGCCAGAGCTTCACTTCGCTGGTCCATAATTTACATTCAAACTCGGACGTAGTGGTAAATCTCGAGATTTTCTACAGTTGTGATGATGTAAAATTGTTTTTTCGGTTATTTGATTTTTTTCTTGCCGTAAAATCAAATTTTTGAATTATTTAAAAATTATATTCTTATTTCTGTCTTTGACTATTAGTGAAGATTGGGGTCTGACTTAAAATATTTGAAGAAATTAAATACTAAACAAATTATACTACAAGCTTTCGAAGTGGCTCACGATCGTGTTTCTTCTGTAATTCTATAGAAAAAACTTACATTCAAATATGTTTGGTTATTTATTGAGCCTTTGTGCTTTGCTGTCCATGACATCGCTTGCTAGGTAGGGTGTTGATGAGATTAATAGATTAGGTGCCTATTTAAATACCGATAAAACCGGCTCCTGGAGTCTTGTTATGACGATATGCTCGAGTGTCGGGCTAGTGTCTTGTATTATGGTTACTCCTACACCAAATAACAATCCCTCTGTCCTACGAGTATAAAATTCATATTTCCTGATCTAAATTTTGTTTCTGAAAGAAATTAAACTCTTAAGTAGATTTTTTTCTTCTATTCTGTTTAAGGTTAAGAAATTCTCCCTCTGTCCTACGATTATAAAATTCATATTTCCTGGTCTAATTTTTGTTTCTGGAAGAAATTACACTCTTAAGTAGATTTTTTTCTTCTATTCTGTTTAAGGTTAAGAAATTCTTGGAAAGGGGAAGGTCCTGATTAGCTTGCCCTTGTCCATGAGACTTTGTGTAACGATTAGCATTGTTTCTAAGCACTTTATCGCAGAGCTCGTAGGACTAAAAAATATAACTCGGTACTCACTGCAGTGAGTGACAGAGAGCATTTTCTCGTCGACGTTAACTTGAGGTCACTGACGGACGGACAGACGGACGGACGGACGGACAGACAGACGGACATGTCGAGCACAATAGTGCATTTTTCCAGAAATGAGAAAATGCGCTAAAAATCAGCGGAACTTTGTCCAAGTACCGATGACATTCATGCCTTTGTGTGCTGGTCACAATGACTCAGCTTGGTTTGCAGAGGGGCCTATGAGTGCTGCGTCTATCCACTGCTCGAGCTGTGGGTAACAAACTGTCTTTATTTGGCAATATTTCCCATCTATTTTGCTTGAGTTTGAGTTAGTGTCTTAGCTGTGAGGTCACGTCGTCGTGTAGGCAGGATCTTTGCACTTTCTCTTGTCTCAGATGCAACGTGTGAGACACGAAACATGTTTCGTGTGAGACACGAAACCCCTCTTTGCTTCGGTTACGTTGCCTTCATCCTGCCGCTTCTGGCTCGCCTGCTTGAACCTGCAAGGGATTTCACACTTTCGTTCCTCTTTTGGTTGAGTTTGATTATTAATTTTTGAAATTTCGTTTCCATTAAAAGCTTTATATTTGTTAGTAATGTTCATTTTGTGACCTCGGGTGCGAGGTATTGCTTCATAGCCGGGGCGCCCTAGTGAACCTCTATGCTAATTGAATATTGGCAGAATGTTTTCTCTGTTATTATAAACTTCTATTTTTTAACTCTTCACTTGTTGGAACGTATCAAGGTTCAGTTGCTAATTCAATTTTTGTGCGTTGCTTTCGTTTATTTGTATTCGAGTCTAAAAAGACTAACGCAGAAACCTGGAATTATTTCTTTGAACCTCAGAGGTATGCAAGACTTTACTGCAAGAGTAATACTTGTGTCATGTATTACGAGAGCTACGTACATTTTGCTGCTATTGGACTGGGTGACAATCATTAGTTAGACGTATCAATATATCTCTAGGACAACATGAATACTATTGTAGCGTTATCTTTATAATGTTCGGGCATTTTTATGTTTATTAAATCCCTTGTTTACCTTCAATTCTCGAATAGTTGTTGTTTCACTATAAATATATTGTGAATTCAAAAAGAAACGATGAAATTAATCTTATGTTACGTGAAAAAGCTAGTAGATTTATGCCACTCAAATCCAGATTCTTACTCAGGCCTACCTTTTGTCTTCGTCTAATCATATGCATTTTTTCACCATGTAAAACTCAAGCAGCTGAATTTAAGTGTAAAAATGTGAACAATCAATACCTATATGATTTTTCTAAATGTATTGACAGAAAATATTATCTTGGTTCCTTGCAGTTCATAACAACATTTTATCGGATAGTTAACTTTTATTTCTCCGTCTCTTGCTTTTATTTTTTTGTCTATCATCAAGTTCGTGGATATAACTGTTCGAGGCAAGCAATGTTAGGGTTTTCCTTCATCTTCAAATGCTAAACAAAAAAAATTCTCATTTAATATCAGTATAGATTAGCATTGCAACCCGTACAATGTTAGTGCTTAAATTGTTGAATTTCGTCTGTGTCGAAATCATAGGTACGCATTGTCTTTGTGTTGGTTTTGTTAGCAAATCTTATGATTTTTGTGTTCTGCATATCGGAAATGTTGCAAGGACTTTTCAAACTGAATTCTCCTATTGTGGTGATTGCTTATAAGGGAATTCTTAATTGTGTCCATTCTTGTGCGTTTCTAATTTAGGGTCCGTGAAATATTAACCTCCTAATTACGTATAATTGTTTTATGTTGCTTCTTACATAATTGATTGCTATGATGTTAATATATTCATTTATTTATTAATGCAATTTTGGGGAATCCGTAACTATTTTCGGGGCAATGACTGTCCCATCACTCAGTCCAAACCCCATCAGTACGGTAACATTTTTGCAGTTCTGACGCGATCACCAATATCGTGGACAGGGAATTAAAAATGTTTATTTTTCGTATTGATGAGGTGCTTGTGATAAGCTTAGTTTTTTTATAATCGTTAACAAATAACAGTATTATTTCGTTTCGCTATGCTGCTGCCTGGGACCAGTAAAAATGCTGGAAATGCCTTTTGCTGTTGCTTTAATGAAATTCAATTGATTTTATGAAAGTCATTTGTACGTTTGGATATGACGCTGAAAACTAAGGTGCTAACATCGGTTGCTACTGCCCAATTTGAGGTATGGTACGTAGAGTGTTGTTCAATGCTCGCAGCTTGCTTCATGTTTTGTTGGGAATTTGTTTGCGAAATTTCAGGAACTAAATCAAAAGCAAAGTTGGTTCTCAAACCGATTATTTTGACTAGTAATTTTGTCACAATTATAAAATAGCTTGATTTATCTCATTATATGTAAAAAGAATTGCTCTATTTGAGACAAATTACAAATTCTGTTGCATTGTTATGAAACTGGACGAATTTCTGGACTTTTTTTTTTTACTTTCAGCGGTTTCATGTGAAAAAGTCCATCTCTTTATAGGTAAAGTCTACGCCGCTTGCTTCCTGAGTTATTGGAGCATCTCGTGCAAATCTCGGTATAATTTTCTTCTTGGCCGAACGTCTTCGCGAAAAATTGTCTCACGGTTTTGTTTGTTTCCGTTTTGTAACGTTGGTGATTTTCCTGTGTTGTTGGTCTTGTTGGCATTAGAGAATCTAATATTCACGAGTTGTGAAATTTGCATCTAATAATTTGCTCATGACGTTCTAGTTTTCTGATTTTTAGTCATTTTGGCAGCTCTACCGACTGACGCGAGTACATTTGTTCTCGTGATCGCCTATTACGCTGAATTACGTTAATTTACGTTAATGTGTGTTGTGCCGTAAATGATTTAATTTGTTGTCCGAACTAGAATAATGAAACTTTGTTGTTAATCTTTTATGTTACGCGAAATGCTTCTTAAAATTCTCGAGTTTCCTAAGTCGTACGTGACGGCTTCTGTGTATTTCATATGATGAGAAAAACGTATTTTTTCCTTCTGTTTAGTTGCGCTCTGGAGCATTTTCCATCCTTATTTTAAATCAGGCCTAATGTGACGTGTAGTCGTTGATACTTTTTTGAACAATCTCTAACTAAGGATAGATGCTTTACTTTGAACCGTTGCGTTCGCGTCACAATTTTCGCCCGCACTCCCAATTTTGTTCAATGACGTTTGAATCTATTCAATTTGAGCCAGCATTCTATGAATTCAGATATTACTAGCTACCATCTACTAAATAGGGAGAATAGGGAGTTATTTACACGGTGTGGCAGTCGAAATGTTGAAAAAATTTTCATCTACCAACTTTTGATCAGAAGAAATTTGCCTTCCCTAGTTCAAGTCGTTTCAATCATCGCTTTGAGAATACTTTTACTGGTGCTCTCGATATTTTATATTGACGTTTAGGTTTAGTATAGGTTAACTTTTATTATTGGTTTAACCTTCTAAGGTATGAACCTACATGGGATTCCCCCATTTTTTGTTTGCTCAGTTGATAGTACGTATAGCTTTTGTTTACCAATTCAATGCGAGTGTGATGAATAAATATCAACACGATTGTTGTATCTAATTCGTATATCAGATCTTAAATACGGTCGTCATGGTCACTTCAAATGTTCTTCGATCTGCTATCAAATCTACGGTACTTAGATGCCGTTCAGAAATATACTTCTTTATCTAAACGGTAACATCAGTCCCTTTCTACAGTTGATATATGATTTCACTTATATATGAATTTTCGCCTGTGTGTGTTCATACAGCTCTATTTTGTAATATTTTCTTCTTGTGACATGTGTGATCGTAATGTTATGCGTAATGTAAATAGCTTGCCAAATCTATCCACTCCCAAAATGTTATCGTGCCTCGATATGTTTACGAATGATTTTATCTAGGACGTTACTATTCATCATTGAATCGCAGAAGATAATTCAGCGTGATAAGAGTAATGTTTTAGTCTCAATCAACCCATAACTATTGGAATAATTCTTTACTTCTATTTTGATCTTATATATATCTGGGTTTTTAAGTATTGATCTGTACGGTGCATAGAGACTAGAGCGTGCAGCATTTAATGCATGCGCGCGGTTGTACAAAACGTAATTGTTTATCTGAAACCGTTTCGTGCATTTGACGTGGCTAAATACGGGCCATTTAATTTAGCGATGTACAATTGTGAACAAATTTACCGTGTGTAGCAAAGATGGTGTTGTGCAAATGACAAGCTTGCTGTTCGTTGTCTCTTTATGTACATTGTTGGAGATGCAAGGCTGTACAAGTATGTATTTAGAGAGGAGAACTAATACTTATGTTAAACTGCTCACAAATCTCATTAATGGCGTATATGCTTGTATATTTCTGTAAATGACTCAAATTATTTATAAATAAAATGATTCTCAACCTTGAACGCCTTATTTATAAGACGCGCTTATCACGAACCTCTGAGTTAGTGAGCCTATGGTGATGTTCATCTTGACTTTCGGTGCAAGATAGTAGCTAAATAGCTGAAGCGCTAGTAAACATTTTGCCACTAAACTAACTAACTAACTGAGAAGTGAATTATTCTATGTAATTAACGCTGCAGAATTGATGTGATCGCACTTAAGACCACATAATAGGATGTAATTTTCATAAATTAAAAGCTTTAAAAGAAAGCTTATTGTGGCTATTATGGTCCATGCGAAGCACACAATGTCTGAAGATGCAAATTAGAAGTTTTTGGGCGATTTCATGATGTGTTATTTCAAGTTTGATGCATTTGTCTGTGATTTTGCATGTTCTTTACGGAGAATTTTCTTTTCACTCCTATATCGAGTAGTATTCGAGTCTCGTGTTCAGCAATAACAGCCATAGAAATAGACACAAACATCGTATAACATCCGTGGACCTGCATACAACGCATTATATTTACGTCTTTCGTTGTATCCTCTCGTATATTCTTAATTTTTTAAAGACATAGCAAACCATAGACCGAACAAATAGCAAAACTGCTCTACCTCAATGATAATAAACGACCAATGCGAGATCCCCACTATCACCCCCAATCCTCTACCAGAAAGCGTGTATAACCTGATCCAACACAAAGACCACCGACCTCTTGTTGCTCAATCAACTCGTAGTATTCTCATCTGACTACATAAGAAGCAGAATATTCTAGAATCTTCCGGAACATTCTAGAACATTCTAGAATATTTCAGAACATTCTAGTTATATTCCAGAACATTCTAGTATATTCCAGAACATTCTAGTATATTCCAGAACATTCTAGTATATTCCAGAATATTCTAGGATATTCCAGAACATTCTAGTATATTCCAGAACATTCTAGTATATTCCAGAACATTCTAGTATATTCCAGAACATTCTAGTATATTCCAGAATATTCTAGGATATTCCAGAACATTCTAGTATATTCCAGAACATTCTAGTATATTCCAGAACATTCTAGTATATTCCAGAATATTCTAGTATATTCCAGAATATTCTAGAGCAGTCCTCCATCCGTGTACTCTTGACCATCAGCACCCTACACACCCTTTCCACCTACACAACCGGCCATCTGCACCTATACGTCAGATGTAGTAATGATCGCATTCAGATTCCTTGACACCAACAACTTTACTCTCGCTAACCCTCAACATGTAACTACACAACGGGCTATGATGCACCTGGGTGTCTCATATAGAAATGTAACTAATTGCAAGTGCATTGTCCCTCACAACTCTGAAGGATTCACAGAACTCATCGAGAGTAACTTAACGATGAAACGAGACTAAAGAAACGAAACAACTGAAATCCCAATCTACCTTCCGAGCGTCGAATGACTCAGTACCCTCTAAAGCATCACAATCGCTACCCTCACTCCAATCACATCATCTTCAATGTGAAAAATATAGGAAAGAAAATAGTAAAAAGACCGGGTAGCTTGTCAATATATTGAATTCACATCTAAGTTGTACAGCACTCGTGCATGTAAATAATGTAATTATTGAAACATCAAACACCATAAACCAACTCAAACGCCTCCTAGTGCTGTCAGAAAAAAAAAAAAACATTCCCCGAGCAACGAATCGTTAGCTTAACCTGCGACAGCAGTTAAACCGGTCACCCCGGGTAAAGTTACTGTGACAGGTTAACTTTCGTCCATTTTAACCTTCACTAATTTCCCTGCAACCACAGTTCACCGGATCACATTACTCGTAAACTGTCGTTAACCACAACTTTATGTTACTGTATGAACCCCGGCAGGGTGACGCAGTGGTTGCAGTTCATAGTACCAAAATTGGGGCAGGGAGTTGCGGGTTCGACCGTAGCTTCCTGTGACAGTTTTGGTCAAAATCGGCGAGTTAGTCAGACGGTTAAGCAAAAGCAATATTGGTGCAGAGAGTTGCGTGTTCGAGACCCGCAGCAAGCTGTGAAAATTCGGCGATGTTCTGAATCGGCGACAGGCCTAATGGGCTAATTTATAACACTGGCACCGCTGTGGATTAATGGCTGAGCGTTTTAATCCGTTGTTCTGGCTCTAAGATGGAATAACAAGGCTGATATTATTGAACGTTAATCAGGCGAATGAGTTAATACTCATGAAAATACATTTGACCACCGTTACGAGGTCCACCGTTAAGAGTAGGTACATCAGGAAATTTCTCACGCTGGATAAAAACTGCTGATATTCGTGGCTGTGAGCCGGTTTGAAGTACAGTAGTAACAATATTCATAGTAGTTGAATATTGTTACTATCATGTGCGTTCACCTATTACTTGCTGTTTCACTGGGAATTTACCCAGCCAATCGTGACTCTCCTTTTCTTGTGCACTCAAACGTAAGTTTGACAGATCACAGGAATGGATCCGAGTGAGATGCAGGGTCCCCTCCACACCTCGAGTGTCGAAGCCTCCTGAGCGAAGCAAGGGCCTGATGAAGCCGGTTCGATGACGATCTGGCACTGGTTGAAAAAACTTCCATCAGCCCATTGCTGCGTAGAGTTGAGCCACAACCAGGCCAAGCACGCGGCTGTGCAACGGGATCTGATCTCTGAAAGAAATAGAATTTTAGTTAGAATGTTTTAATTGAACATTTGAAAATTGTTTACAGATGATCTCGCCGTCCAGCTACTATAAGCTTGGGTCCTTAATTAGAAAAATTAACTACGATTCTGCACTTTCATCGAACTCAGTTCTGCAATAAATCTGGCGCGGGTGTTACCGTTCGGACTTTTTTCTTTGTCAGTAGCTGTATCGTAACAGAAATCGTGAGCCCGTAAGCACTCAGAGTATTTCATTAGAATTTGAATTGTTAGATCAGAAAGCGGAAAATCTACTTGCTTCCGTAAATTTTACTGGCATTGTGGGGAACGCTGTGATCGCCAGTACGAACAGAGACGATAGCATCCATACCTTAATATGGGTCATTGGAACAACTGCAACAAAATAAAGAACAAAATGATATCATTAACAGAAAGGAATAAAATTACGACGAAGTGAAAAACTTCGATTCCCTTAATACTATTTAAATTTTCAGGTCATGTGAACTAATTTCACACCCTGGTTTTCGTTCCTTTTTTAGAGAGCGCGCTTTACTAACGAAGTTTTTCTATGCAACGTTTCTCAATGTTGAGGCTTGCCTCTATATAGTACACGAAACTCTTTAAATGGAAACATGGACTGCATTAAATATCTATATAGGACAGGAAAATGCTATCTGAAGTACGTTAACCCAGGGACCGCTTCTTAATTTCAGTTAGAATAGAATAGAAGTGTCGGCACTGAAGAAATAGGCCCATGGCCTGTTGCCGATTCTTATAATTTTCGTGACTTGATTCACAAGGGATCCGGCCTTTGGAACCCGATCTTTCCNTGAACAATCCCCCGAACGAAGAGCCATATTCTTTATAACGTAGTTGTCACAGCAATTTATTGTTTACTCACTTTTTTAAAATATCATTTAACCTCAACATTGTTAGGGTACGTAGTACAACATTAAAGTTTAATCACCCGCACAGTACGCAAGTGCCACAGCGCTCTGCGAGATTGCGTAAATAGTTGCGTAGTGCGCTTGTGGGGTGAGGGAGTCCACGTGGGAGGCTAGCAGGGGGAGCAGAGAGGCATCCACAGCACCCACACCGACCCCAACTCCCACATGTGGGAGAGTTAGCTTCCCAACGCTGTTGGCAACTGGGATCTGCGGTAATTTTATGTTCCAGATAAATAAAGTAATTGTTGTTAAGTTGCCATCAATATCATTCGGGTAACAGTAGTAGCATCATTAATTTTAAATCCTGCTGTATCATTAATATGCCTGTCTCTTATACACATCTAGATGTGTATAAGAGACAGGCTGTGAATGTTCTGCGATGTTCAGAATCGGCGACAGGCCACATCAGGCCTACACTTCAGAGCCGACATCACTATGTTATGTATGTTATGTTAAGAAATCTGTCTATTATTGTTATCATTACTTACCAATGTATTCCAGGTTGAAATTTAGTAAAATATATGCAAAATAAAAAAATATAATAACGAAAGAAATCTGTATATTCTTGGCATCATTAGATACTCCAGGTTGAAATTTCATAAAATATATAACAAAGTTTTAATAATAACGACTCACCGGGTCCCACTTGAGCATGAAGCAGCTGGTATTCAGCGGCGGAGTTGATCACAGCAAACTCGAGGCCATCTGCAGCGCAGAGGTTCTGGGCGCTCAGGGATGTCACGGCTCCTGCATTTGTGATGCCCGCGCTCAGGACGAACCGCTTCGTGCCCTGGATAAAAAAATATAACTCAGTAGGTACTCACTGCAGTGAGTGACAGAGAGCGCATTTTCTCGTCGACGAAAACGTGAAGTCACGGACGGNACAGGCATAGGATGGTTTTGATGGTTTCAAGATATACAAGCTGAATAAAATTCAGTTTTCAGATTCAATTCTGGTCAGAATCGGCAAGGAGGCCGGGCGGTTAAACACAGCAGAATTTGAATCAGTGAGTAGTGAGTTCGAGACCGCAAAAAGCTGTGAATGTTCTGCGATGTTCAGAATCGGCGACAGGCCTACGGCCTAATAACGGTGAAACCGCTTTTATTATTATATTAGTTTAATATTAATGTACGGAATATAAGATATAAAACAATTCATCCAGGTTTAAGAGAAAAGTACATACAATTTATTGTTTCAGACCAGCATTGGCTCAAAACTAAATTTTGTACACAAAGTGCAGGTCATCGCCGATTTTGATACAGTTTTTAGCATATTGCTACCTGCAATAAACATTCCTAATGTTATCATTAGTCACGATTATATTGTATAAGAGTTCTAGTGCTTGTGCATTGTAGGTGCTTGGTAAGTTTTTTGTGCTTGGTAAATTTCTAGTGCTTGGCTTATACCTTTGTAGTCCAAGGAATATTCAGGTTGACATAGCGGACAAAATTTTTAATAGGTGTATTATGTGTTTCTAGTGTTTGAAGGGGACAAAGTGAATAGAGTCCAGTGCTTGGTTTGCCCTTTCTAGTCCAAGAAATATTCAGGTTGACATAAGAGATTAGTTTTCAATAAATCGTTTTACTTTATATTTGTGTCAGGTGACAATGTTGATACCATTCGTCCCTGGATAGTTCCTGATTGATGTCTTCCTTTTTGAAAGATAATCTCCTTCACTGCGATATGTTAAAAATAAAATAATAAATATCCAGGGACGAATGGCATCAACATTGTCACCTGACATTTGTTGACATTAGTTTTTAATTAGTTTTATGTTAACAGATTAGTTTTTAATAAAGCGTTTTATCTTATATTTGTTGACATGTACCCTGGCCGCGCTGCCTGCAGAAGCCGTACGTCCGATGAAGGCAGAACAGAAGGCGGCTCCACGAAAGTGCACCCGGTACGTCATGTCGCCCCAGGCGACGCCCAACATCACCAGGCATAGCAGAGGCACAGGCAGCGTTGGTCTCATCGTCTGCTATTGTTTCTTCTAGCTATTACCTGCTTCTAGTCTGGATAAGATAACACAATACCTATATAGTTTTAGCTTCTATCACCTGCTTCTAGTCTCGATAAGATAACACAATACCTATATAGTTGTAGCTGCTATCACCTGCTTCTAGTCTCGATAAGATAACCCAATAACTAAAGTTGTAGCTTCTATCACCTGCTTCTAGTCTCGATAAGATAACCCAGTACCTATAGTTGTAGGATGAAAGTTACAAGAAATGTTATTGATAGAGTGATTGTAGTGAATGGAAAAAGGGATATCATCAGGCTGGGATTTTTTAAGATATTACAACGGATTCGATGTTAAATCACCAGACATAGCATGGGCAGGGTGGCCCAGTGGTTAAAGTTCAGAGTGCCACGACTGGAGCAGAGAGGCGCGGGTTCGATCCCAGCTCTGTGCGCCAGTTTCTGGTCAGAATCGGCAAGGAAGCCGGGCGGTTAAGCAAGGCAAAAATTGAAGCGGTGAGTTGCGCGTTCGAGACCGCAACAAGCTGTGAATGTTATCGATGTTAAGAATCGGCGACAGGCCTACGGCCTAATAAACGCTGAAACCGCTATTCTATAAATGTTTAGCGTTGCCATTATGTTGTCTAACGACTACTTGGGTCGCAACGTGAACTTGAGCAAGTTTTGAAAGTAAACGAGCCCAGCATAAAGACTTACACGCAGACAGAGCAGCGTTTTAGAATATTTGCGGATCAAATCGATCGTGAATTATGATAACATGGCTTATTTGATAACAAAGAGGGAAAACACGTGGGCGGCTAACTCGAGTTGGAAAAAAGTTTGTGAATTAATTTTTTTCTCAATTTTACAGTCCATAGGTTTCCGGTAAAGGTAAAGAGTAGGCGGTGCCAACGAATTCATTCCGTGAAAACTACTATAATGATGTATTGAAATGTAGTTTGTTTAGGAACTCATTTCTTTGATTTATAAATGAGGAACAAGAGAAAGAAGTTAGCTGGTTGACCTATGGTTTAATCGAAGAAGCATTAGTGATGACTTTACTCACGCGATGTGTCGATTAGTTGGGAGCTAATATGTACATTATAGTGTTCAGATAAAAAAAACATTCATTATTTTTTAGAGGGATCAAGATCTGAACATTGACCTCGTGAAGTACGACGCGTTATACAGGGTGGGTCAAAAGTCACTAACCCTTTTTATTTTTTAATATCTTTATTATTTCTTAATATTTTTTATCTTTTTAATATTTTTTTGCAGATCCCGGAAATTAATTATGGAGAAATACAGTACCATCTAACGTACACACATTGTAAAATGTTACTATCAAAATCAAGGCTCAATAATTCAAACCAAAAGAGCCTATCGAATGCAATTCAATGCCAACAAGGCGCAATCATTAATGGAGCTAGAGGAAAACATCACTAGAGAAATAAGAGAAATAACTTCAGAAATTTTAGAAAAGGCTATGGCAGAGGTAATCGAAAGAGCTGCAATTTGTGAAGCAGATAATGGAAGGCATATAAGGATGTTATTTTTCACACTTATGGATAAAGTTTCTGACGCTTACTAAAAGTAAATTTGCGATAAGAATAAAATTATATTTGTCGTAGAAAATCAATATCCATCGCCCTGACTTTATGACACTAAAATTTCATGTAACTGTAATAATAAAAAAGTTATTTAAAATTGAAATGGTTCAGTGACTTTTAGCTCACATTGTAGTACTATCAGCAGATATCATCAATGTTTGATTTTTTCAGACATTCCAACGGATTCGTTGTCAAATGTTTAGTGTTGCCATTTTGTTGTCTAACCCTGGAATTTTGTCCATTAAGGAAGCACAGAACATAAGTTGTTATTTAAAAGCATGACACGCCCATGACGAAAGCATGGAATCTATATTTGAAATCGGGTTTTCTAGTCGCTTAATTATTTAATTTTATAATTTCAACAAAGGCAGGAGAGGTTTATTCATTTACTCATCGTTGAACATCTTCAGGATTATTCAAATAATTCAAGACGTCACCAAACTTTCATCGATAGTAATCTGCACCTTTCAATGCTGATTAACTAAAAATTGTTTTTTGTTTCAATATTACATCAAAATTACATGGCGACATGAGATATGTTTTGTACGTTCTTGTAGATATTTAGTTAGTAAAACAGATCATCTTAGAAGAGATCGTAGACGTCAATATTCTATTAACTAATGTTCCATCGACGATAGTCTACTATAGTCAAATGTATAGAGAAAAAACTGTACTTGACAGTTCATTGTCATCTTGAGAGGATGCCTTATTTGCGTCCGTTTTAGATCCTTCTGAAACTGTATGCAGTGTGATGTCTCGAAGGATTCTAGTGGTCATACCAATGTATACCAACTTTACCAAAGAGCTCACTTCTCGTAGGGTTCAGAGGTATTTTACTTCAAGAGAAAAAAATTATATACAAGACCAACCGAGCTCAACATGTTCTATGATAAATTGATAGCTTATACCTGCAGCCAAATCTCAGAAAAGTTCGACGTGGGCCCGCTCCTCACTCGCGTCACAGCTCAGTGACCCTCGGAGTCGGTGTAGGCCACCATCAGAGGCGTTAAGGTCGGGGCCCTGATCATTGACATGAAACCATTCCCTGTTTTTAATTAATAAAATTAATTCCTTCCGTAATTAATTTTAATTAATTCGGATTAGGTTTTCCTAGTTGTTCAATTGTATAGAGGAGTTCCATCATTTCTCCAAAGACCGGAGAGGTGTAGTGATTCCAGGAGTGTTAGTAGGATAAAACGTATTTTTATACATTTGAATGTCTTAATTCTGTACAATTCACCTTTGAACCTTGTCTGATTGTCAACGACAAATATAGTAATTTAAAATAATCATAATCGACGTCGTAAGCCATGTAACCATGGCCAGTTTTAATAAATATAATATCTGATGATTTTGTAATAATTTCAAGTTCTGGTAATGACAATTATTATGTACTCATAATTCACGATAGTTCTGTGGCCATACTTAAAAACTCGCTAAGTGAACGTAAGTACTTACGCTCTATTTTCTTGTCTATGATTGGTGGATTTTGCTTGTAAGGCCGTCACTGATTGGCCGATGAACTTACGATCTCTTAACTTTTTTTTAAAGTATAGGGCCTGGTATGTAGCGCTAATTTCTACCAAGCCCTCTGGTAACATCAATTCAAGCCAAGGCATTCAACTTCTGACGCGCTACTACAAATAGTGCCGAGTAATTTCCCATGTGTTGTGGTGAAAATTTTTAATAAGTCACTGGGTGAGTAGTTATCAGAGGTTAAGAAATTTAATAATTGTTTCATGTATATCATGCGGAAGCGTGATATACATGAAAATCGCGCTGACGATGTTTGTTCTAGTACAATACAGCATTAATATATCATGCCTAACAATGAAGGAATTTTGAGAAAACTTTCTTAGGTTATGGCTAGGTGTATCTTAATCAGAAATACTTTAATAAACACTATACTTTCAATCTGGAAGTCTCTGAAAAAACTGCATTTAACGACAGACGTGCTTATAAGTTTTGTGCTTGTAAATCAGATGATAGGAATTGTCATGTTTTAGGAATTTTCATATTGACTCAGACTAGGGGCTTGAATAAAGTAGGTAATATTGACAGTAGGTAATATTGAACATGTATTATGCATAGATGTTAAGAATGCTAAGAATGCGGCGCCGTTGTCGAGACCGTGGGAAAGGTTGTTTACATTGAAACGTTGGCGCTCAGCGTTGCGAGGGAAATTCCATTCGAAGGAATGTATAGCGTCAGTTCAA